CTACTACTACCACCACTTCTGCTTTCCATTACTCTTCCACTACTACTTCTAGTACATTTTTGGTTTTTGCTATTACTCTTGCTGCTGCTACCACCACTTCCACCACCACTACTACTGCTACTACTACTACTACTAGTACTACCACTACTCTACTACTACTGCTACTACTACTACTACTACTACTGCTACTACTCCTACTACTACTACTACTACTACTACTTCTACTACTTCTGCTACTCCTGCTGCTACTACTACTTCTTCTATTAGTACTACTACTACTACTACTACTACTACTACTACTACTACTACTACTACTACTACTACTACTACTACTACTACTACTACTACTACTACTACTAACTATCACTGCTACTACCAATACCACCAGTAGCACTATCACTTCCAACACTGCCACTATCACTGCTTCAACCACAACCACTGCCACTACCACTCCACTACCACTACCACTTCCACTACCACGACCCCTACCCCTACCCCTACCCCTACCCCTACCGCTACCGCGACCACGACCACGACCACCACCACTACCACTACCACTACCACTACTACTACCACTACCACTACCACTACCACTACCACTACCACTACCACTACTTCTACTACAACAACAACTACTACTACTACTACTACTACTACTACTACTACTGCTACTACTACTACTACCACTACTGCTACTGCTACCTTTTCTGCTACTGCTACTACTGCCACCACTACTACTGTTACTGCCACTACCACTACCACTGCCACTACCACTACCTCTACCGGTACAGCTACTAGTACTACGGTCACGACGATTGCTACTACGACGAGTGCCATTATTCCTACTAGTAAGTAGTAAATAATGACTAGAATGGAGATCCTTCTGGTTGCAATTACAGTGAATGTTGCTGGTATTGATGCTGCAGTACCGCTGTCACTGGTGGTGGTGCTGGTGAAGATGGCGATAGTGTGCAACAGCTTCCTGCCAGGTCGTCATTTAATTTCTTATGTTTGAACAATGCTTGGTTGATGGCTGATGGAAGGTTTAGGGTGCGGTGGTTTGGGAGGTTTAGGGCTTCAGGGTTCAGTGTTCAGGGCATGACGCTCTAGTATTTCGGGTTTAGGATTTCGTGCTTGGGGCGTCAGGGTTTAGGATTTAGTGGGTTTGGGATTTAAGGCAATGGCCGATTGTCTGGTTCCGTCCTGTCCTGTCTTCCTCACCTATGCTGTTCTGCCTCCACTGCTACGCTGCTGCCTATTTCTCAACTTACTGGTGAAGCCATCAACGGAGAAATAGCTGCTTAACACTTATTATTACTATCTTGTTACAAGACAAATTTTAGCCCCCCTTCACCAGTGTTTCGCAATGTACATTTGAATACACACACCAATATATGTTTTATACCACCCACGACTTTTTCTGAGAATTGCGATACGATTTAAAGCTTGCAGGACAGTGTTTATACAGGTTTTAGTTCATTTCGCACACCGTCCGATTCCTAGACCCATCAAAACATGCTTCTGTCACTTCCCAGGAGTTTGTGCTTTAATAGCAACATTGTATATTCCATAACTTTTTGACACGAGTGTTCATGCTGAACATGTTGGGCCTTGAAGCCGTTTTGCATTTGCGAACGAAAACAGAGAACCTTCTCAGAAGCATGTTTTCCCAATTTTGCTTCTGAGAAGGGGCGCCGTGTCAGCCCAGCCCCCCCAAAGTTGTCTCATAATAAGACTATGCGCATTAATGTCCGGAGGAACTGTATCACTTATGTGCATATTAGTATTCATGTTAGCATTTGCGTGTATATTGGTATCAAATAAATACTAAAATTACTATCAATATGGGTATTTTTTGATATTCGTAGGAACACTAGTATTCATATTAGTATCGGTATTACTGAGAGTATCAGTATTCGTAAAAATATTTGTAATCATAGTAATTCATATCAGTACGAGTATTAAGATGAGTTCTCATGCGCATATGAATACTTTGAAGGAAAGCTGACCTTAATTTAAAAGAAATGGTAATGAATACTATTACGAAAACATAGTAATTCTGGTATTGATACGAATACCCATATTAATGTCCTATTATGTATAATCGCAGTAGCCTGAGTATTGGTATGCATTTTCGGACAAATATTAGTATTCCAAACAACTAGTACTATTAATATTCATATTGAGAACAGTTAATAAGAATATGCGTATTAGTATCTCCAGGAGTGTCAATATTCCCATCAGCACTACTATTCGTATTAGTAGTGTTATTTTTAATACTAGTATTAACCATTAAGCCTATTATGTTGTGAACAGTAATATCCTTATTCGTAGGAGTAGAAATCTTAGTATCAGTATTAGTATTCGCACTAGTAATAGCTATTATACACATTGGCGCATGAGTAATCTAAGAGCTTCACACAGAATAAACATGTGTGCACATGTAACCCTCATTACGATCCTAGGTAGGATGCACACATCGTTCTGTCTTGGTCCCGTCTTTGGGTTATGCTATGAGTACATGAACAAAATTATAAACAGACAATGACAAACACAAAGTTATCCGGCGCATCTAACGATCTTACGTAGGATGCAGACACTGTTCTGTCTTGGTCCTGTCTTCGGGTTATGCCTATGGTCCTTGTATGACCAGAATTATGAATATCCGGATCATTTAGGCAGTATCCTATTAAACAATTGCAGGCATTGAAGCCTGCCCAAATCCGCGAACGGCGATGTCGCGCCGTCGTAGGTCATTACAGTGTATTCAGCTATTAATTATACACGATATATGTTTCTATTGTTTCTGTATGAGCGTATTTTATCCTAATGGCTTCCTCAAATCCTTACATGTTCTACCACCCATTGCTAGCCGAAGCACCTCGCGGTAGGTCTTCGGGGGGGGGGGGGGGTGAGCATATATATATATATATGTATATATATATATATATATATAGGGCTTCATATTTTGATGCAAGCTCTATTCCTTAATTAAGGGGTATTGGGCTTTCTGGGATGAGGGTTGCTATAGAACCCTATCACAATTAATTCCTTAACAAGAACCCAATAGTGCCCATGTGCCCATATAGGAGCCCGTAAAGGAAACCCTATAGAGCAGTTAAAAGAGCCCGTAAAGGAACCCTACCTTAAAGGAGCCCCTGCAGGTAATTCTCTAAGAGAGGGTCCGTTTTAAGTCATAAACATGGTACTCCACCCAAATAACCAGGACCCGAAATGGGACCCTGATAAAGAGAATTACTACATAGCGTATACTTGGGCCCCGAAGTACCCAGATGGGGACTACAAAAAGGCCCAAGTATATACTTCTTTGTCATGTGAGTACATAGATACTTGCTCCATTCGCGACCCTTATGCCTTCCTGGTGAAGCTATAAGTCCAGTGATATTAATCAGTCTTTAGGCTTTGAGGTTTGAGAAACGGGACTCGGTTTGGGGTTGTGGTGACTTGTGGTTCTGAATGCACTACTTGAGCTACTGTCTCCTCTGATCCTTCGTTACAAGTCTTAGCGTTGTCGTGTACCCGCGATCAGAGCTTGTTCCCTTTTTTGAGGTTCAGGTTCCCTTATAACACCCTTTAAACCAAAAAGGGCACCCTTTTTACTCCTAAGTTACCCTAGGGTCTAGTAACTGTTCAACTACACCGGATCATTGCCAGCAGGAATGCTTCCGCTACTCAAGCTTTCGACCGCCGCTTTCTTTGCCTTTCTTACCAGCCGTTTCAGTCCTATTCTGCTGTTAGCACATTCTTATCTCTTGTGACATTCATTTTGTGAAATTTATTGCTGGAGACTACAGAATATGGCCCTTAAAGTCTAGTTCGATGCTCTGCATGTTGCCATTGTATAGCGTGCGTGCGCGCGCGCGCGTGTGTGTGTGTGTGTGTTTTCGTTCTCCAGCCCAAAACCCTGAAGCGATGTGAATGCAGCCGTTAATCCTGCTCATCTCCCTCCCTCCTCCCTTCCTTGCTTCCTCCCCTCCTAGCTTCCTTCCTTCCTCCCTTGTTATCTTCCTTCCTAAAGCCCCTCCTGAGCCTCTCGTGAAAGGAGAGCCGAAATAGTTCCTGGGCTCACCTGGGTCTGTATACGGTTGATGGTATAAATCCTGCATTACCCATAATACGGAATATACCTTAATTCCCATAGTTTAGGGTCCTTAAGGTAATGCAGGATATATATATATATATATATATATATATATATATATATATCATCAACCGTAGTTGAGACATTTTGGACTCAGGCCTTGGGTAGTTCGGCATCGCGCCTGCCGAAATCCTATGTGTATTAGGGAGACCCCTTCAAGCGGACCCTTCTTCACCCGACTTCTGGCTGTCTTGAAAGGGACCTTATTGAGCAGGCCTATATCCCCAAGGGTCCCCCCTTTTCCCACTTCTGGCTCTCTTAACAGAGAGGGCCTATATCCCCGAGGGTCCCCTTAATCCTAAATCCTACTTGGAGGGGCAGGGGACTCAGTAAGTAAGTTATATGTAGAGTCATAAGTACCCTAAATGGACTGACCCCAATTATAGCCCTACTTAGAAACGACTTACTCAGTCCCCTGCCCCTCCAAGTAGACCCTAAACCCTAAGCCCCATAGATCCCTTTAACAGGAACCCTATAGATCCCTTTAAGGAGCCCTTTAAGATCCCTTACTAAGTCCCCTGCCCCTCCAAGTACGTCCCTTTTTGGGTCCCTCTTGTAGTACGGCACCTATTATTTAGGGTACCCGAAAAAGGACCATAATTTTGACAACCGCCCAAATACTCCCTAAATAGTAGGATCCTCATCATAAGGACCCCCAAAATAAGGTAACCCCCAATTAGCCCGTTAAAGGGACCCTTGTAGTACCCTTATAGTAACCCTTTACCCCATTTGTCAACTTCCCTTTAAGGAGCCCTTTAAGAACCCTCAACCCTAGTCCCCTCCAAATACGAACCCACATGAAATTGCCTGCCAGCCTGCCCCTGGGCTCTCTGCGAAGATGGGCGGCGTTGCGGACTCAGTGCGGATGCTTTGCATGGGTGGAACTCAAAGTCCCCAGAACATTCCAAAGAACGATATAGGAATGCTATACATGTTCGTGTAGGAGTTCGTTCTGTGTGCATGGAATTCTGTATACATGCATTATGGAGCTATACATCAATATGTCTGTCCGTCCGTCCGTCTCTCTGTCTGTCTCTCTGTCTGTCTCTCTGTCTGTCTCTTTGTCTGTCTCTCTGTCTGTCTGTAGGTAGCTAGAAAGGCAGGCAGGCACGGTTATGTAAGACCATGTAAGTTTAGCTTAATGCAGTGCGATGACGCAACGTGGTGTAATGTAAAGTAGCGTAATGTAACCGAAAGTAGCGCCATGTACTGGTGTGTATGCATGCAGGGAGGCATGCATGTATGTATGTATGTACGTATGTATGTATGTATGTCTGCCTGGATGTATGCGTGATATCTGCATGTATGCTTGCTATCTCTCCGCTTGCCTGTATGCCTGTGTCTCTGTCTGTCCGTTTCCGTCTGTCTGTGTCTGCCTGCGTCTGCTTGTGTCTGCTGTTGCTGTCCTTGTCCTGTCTGTCGTACTTGTGTATCTGTACGTAATTGTCAGTAGGTAGGTTTGTATATGTATGTGCACAGTTATATATGTGTATATGTATGCATGCACGTATGTATGTATGTATGCATGCACGTCTGTCCGCACGTCTGTCTGCATGTATGTATATATGTATGCATGCATGCATCATGCACGCATGTATGTATGTATGTATGTATGTATGTACGTATGTAACTGTGTATGTATGCGTGTGTGTGTGGCCATACGAACACATGTGTGCAGGCATGAAAGGATGTACGTGTAGTTGTGCGCGCGTGCGAACTCACGGACGGACTGAAGCATCGTTTGTTGTATGCGCGATTCGGCAGCATCTGCATGAGCAGCAATAGCAGCAGTGGCAGATGCATGCTTGTTATTGTGATTACTTATTAAATTATGGCAGTTCTTATTAGGAATATTACCAGTATGATTAGTAGAAGCCTCAGCATTGGCATTATTAAAATGTTCATTTTTGTGCTCGTCGTCGTCGTAGTCCTTGTACTCCTCCTGCTCTTCCTTCTCCTCTACCTCCTCGTTGCTGTCGTTGTTTTTGTCGTTGCGTCGTCGGCGGCGGTGTTGTCGTCGCCGTGGTAGTGCGCTCCCTCAAGCCCGCACGACAGCAAGAATGACAGGATACCCCAGAAGAACATCATCAGCCTACAATGGCTCTTGTCGTGACTTCCTCGTAGAATCACGACCATGCATCGTGTAAATCCTTTGCTTAAAGTATCAGTTCCGGGGATCCTCGTTTCGATTTACAGGGCTTGCACCCTAAACCCTGCAGTCCGAAAAGGCCCTAGAGGGTAAACCCTAAATCCTAGACCCTAAAGTCCAAAAAGGCCTTAAACCCTAAACCCTACCAGGACCCCCCAAGTACACCCTAATAGAGCCTAATAGAGGGTATTTAGGGTATATTAGAGGGTAGTTGGGGGGTCTAGGTAGACCCTAAAGTCCGAAAAGCCTCTCAAGGGTCGAGGACGTTTGTCTGGAAGCTGCAGGCCCCGCCATCAGCGGCAGAGTTGCGACCCCAGACGTGAGTTGAGGGCTCGGGGTTTTTGCTGCATGGTTTACAGCGAATCCCAGAAAGTTGGGACATGGGATTAGGGGGATTCGTGCTAGAATCCCTTATACTTTACCTTAAGGGCATGAGGAGAATGATGTTCCAACTTTCTGGCTTCCACAGTAGCCTCTGAAAGATGAACAGCCCAAGTAGTATAGGGGCTTGAATGATAACCTATACCATTTTTGGGCGGTTCCCTATTATGATTAAAGTATCTTATTCTAGTTATTAAGGCCCCTTTATGCCCTGTATGCATCCGTGCCACACCCCAGCCCCTGTGTGATTTGGGAGTTTGTGGTTTACGATGCAGGGCATCAGGTTCAGGGTCCGCGGCACTAAACCCCAAAGCTTACGCACTAACCCCTCAACCCAAAGCCCGAGACCCTAAACCCTAAGCCATCCTAAGCCATCGTAAGCCCTAAACCCCAAGCCCTAAACCTTAAACCCTAGACCCTACCCTAAAACCCTAAGCCCTAAGCTCTAGACCGTCTAAACTCAACTAAATGTACACCCTAAACCATCCTAAAGATTAAACCTGAAACCCTCAACCGTAAACCATCCTAAAGATGAAACCCTGAAACCCTTAACCCTAAACCATCCTAAAGATTAAACCCTAAACCCACGAACGCAACAAGAGGCTTCCGGAGGATTCACTTCCTATGACGACAGCCAAGTCGTCAGCGCCCGTCGATGCCTTGGGGTTTAGGGTGTTGGTTTTAGGGTATGGGTTTTAGGGTTCCTAAGGGGTATAGGGTTTAGGGTTTGGGGTTTACTGTAGGGTTTAAGGTTCAAGTTTTAGGGCTTAGGGTTTGGGATTTGGGGTTTAGGGTTTAGGGGTTTAGGGTGCAGGATTTGGACTTGGGATTTCAGGCGGGTTAACAGGATAGGGCTTCTCTAAACCCTAACCACCCCCTCCGAACAAACAGAGCAAAAACCCTAAACCCTACACCCTAAACCCTAAACCCTCCTCGTGCTGTCAATGGCCGCTAAGCGCATCACTCTTGACATCTGAGATGTTGGTATGAGACTGAGTTGGTTATGGATGAAGCTACCTCAGTGCTTTCACAGGCTCTGGGGTGGGTTGTGGCGGTGATGCTGAGAGACAAGAAAACAGAGATTACTTTTCTGCAATCACAGCGATACCTGCTCTACTGTGCAGAAGGAGACATTGCGTTCCCCAAGGATGTCTTGGTCAAAGCCATGATTCCAACACCCGACTTCTTTTCTTGCTGGCTGGTTGTTGATTGCGGCAGGAACTTTGTTGAGCTGGCAAGAACAGTGCGAACCATGCATCACCAATTTGCTGTGAAAGCTGGTGAAAATGCGAGAGATGTGACTCAATGCGAATCTGCCTCGCCGCCTTCATGCAAAGTTCGTAGGATCTTCGGCAACGGTGAACTCCATGGTCCAGAAGCTCAGGTCGATTCGGTTTACGTCGCAAACGTAACAGACGTCGAGATTAGTGAGCAGCAGCCTGCAATGATGGCGACAACCATCATCAAGAACGCAGTCAGCCTGACCAAACACAGAAGACAAATCTACCATGGAGACCCTTCGGTGTTTTGCGCAACAGTGGGCACATACATCCCCACTGCGCCTGAAATCCCGAACCCAAGTCCTGCACCCTAAAACCTAAACTCCAACCCTAAACCCCTAAACCCTAAACCCTAAACCCTAAACCCCTAAACCCCTAAACCCCTAAACCCCTAAACCCTAAAACCCCAAATCCTAAAATCCAAAAACACCTGAGCCCTAAACCAGCAGAACCCCAACCCCGAAGCCTCGGACCACAAACCCAACGAACCTCGAAGCCTCAAAGTCCCGGAACCGTGTCCCTGATAGAGAGGTCTCCCCTAAAGGTTCTTTTAAAGGGATCTATAAGGGATTTATAAGGTTTAGGGTTTAGGGGACTCCAATACCCCTTAATTCAGGAATATGGCTTAAATTATCTAGGACTTCATATTATGATTTAAGCTATATTCCTTAATTAAGGGGTAGTGGGCTCTCTGGGAGCTAGGATGCCCAGTAGTACCCTTATTCCGTTTACCAAAAAGGGAGCCCAGTTTATTCCTAGGTTTCTGGGCATCCTAGTTAGGTTTAGGGGTAATGTAGGCATTACTAAGGTTTAGGGTTCAGGGTTTAGAATTTAGGGGTAATTTAGGCATTACTAGGGTTTAGGGTTCAGGGTTTAGGGGGGTAGGTTTGGGGTAATTTACTTAGATCCCCAATGCCCAACCTTTAAACTTTTTGGGTTCTTACAGTTTAGCAGGAACCGGAAAGTTCAAACTTTCATTTTGGCTAATTGGTGGTAAGCCAGTGGATTACTTCAGCATGTCACCAGGGGCGCACGGTGGTATCTTCGGCGCTTAGGGATTGGAAGGTCGTGCTTCATGTGCAGTTCGAAGGGACATCATACAATTAATTGAACCCTATGCCCTAAACCCTATGCCGCATTTTTCCGCCAAAGCCTGAGCCCTAAAACCATAAACTCTAAAGCTCAGCTCCTTCAAGCGCTAGGCCGTGCAGTTCCTGCCATCGGACCATTTCTTCCTCCGTCCCCCCGACCGAAGTTCTTATAGAATTCCTTAATACAACGAAACCCAATTCCCTAAGGCTCCATGTACCCATATAGTCGATACTTAGGCTTTAAAGGGATCACTATATGGGTACTTTAGGGCCTAAGTACCTACTATATGGGTACATAGAGCCTTTGGGATTCTGTGTAGGTTCTTATCCTCAACCCGAAAATAGAATTAAAGGGACTCGACAAGGACGTCTGAGAACCTCAGCCAGCAGCCGTCGACTTGAAATCACCAAGCCCCCAAACGCCCCGATCTTCACCACGCTAGAGACGTGAACCCTGATAAATCCCCAGCCCGAAATCTTCTCATCCTAGATCCCTGCAAGTCTCTCGTTCCTGAAGACCAGATTCTCAGTGTCAGGCTTACAATCCGAACTTCTGCGCATACCTGGCCACAAACTTAATAAGCCTTTCAGCGTATAGGGTGCCTTGGACAGCATCGGAAGTTTCGCAGCTTGCCCCAGGTGCCGTTTCAGAAGGCACCCATGGCGCAGGCGGAGTTTTTTGGTAATGTAGCAACCTGATTAAGAAACCTTGGGCCTTTGGTTGGGGTTCCTTGTTTGAATCCTGCTATTTTGGGGGTTGAAGGCCCAGGGTTTCTCTTACCGGTCGAATCCTTTGATTTTGTATGGTTAGGATTTAAAGTTTGGGGTTTAGGGTTAAGGTTAGGATTTAGAGTTTAGGGTTTAGGGTGGAAGCTTAAGTTTAGGATCTAGGTTTAGGGTTTAGGGGTTAGGATTTAACTTTAGGGTTTAGGGACCCTATAGCAACCCAGAGCCAGCACCCTGGACCCTGAACTCGAAGCGATACGGCTCCTGGGAGGTTCTTAGGGTTTAGGGCTTTAGGGTTTAGGGTTTAGGGATTTAGGGTTTAGGGTGGTTCTTAGGGGGGTTCTCTCCTTTTTTTGGGGTTGTGGTTTCTGTTATAGTGGCGAAAACTTAACATCTGCGAAAAGTCGAAGGCAAAGCCAGTCCTTGTAGCCTGATCGGGTTGGGGATGATCTGCGCCGGATCAGCTCTTTGGGCCCTGTGTTTAGGGTAACGGTTTAGGGTCTAGGTTTTAGGGTTTGTGTTCTGCGGTTATGTAGCTCATTCCGACTAAACCTTCTAAGCTCAAGCGTGTAGAAACCTAGATGATGAGATTCCACACAGTCTTGAACAAGAAAAAGCTCGCACACCCTGCATGAGAGATCCCCAGCCCTGGTCTTTGAGATTGTGGAGCTTTCGGCTTCAACTAAATTAGGGGCCTAAATAACTACATTAAGCCCCACACTCATGCTCCAGATGGATGTTTCGCTTCAGGCCCTCACAGGTGTCATGCACTCCACCAGCTTATGGTCTTTCTGCGTAGCTGCAGATATCGCACTGTAAATCAACAACTGTACGGATTAGAGATCAGGCCTTGGGGTCTAGGAGATCCCAAAGCCCCAGGTACCCTCAACTCTAGGCCTTATAACGCCCTAAACACTAAGGCGGCCCCGGGGTTGTGAGTCGTGAGTTTCTTTCCGGGGTCTGCGCAGATATGCACCCTTAGTGTACCCGAATGGGCAAGGCAGTCGAAACCCAAAGCCCGAAAGGCTTTAGGGTTTAGGCAAAGCTCCAACTTCCGCCATGGACTGATTTCCATGGATTGATTTCCTGGGAGCACATGCTTTGCCTTCCTCATGCTATGAGGGTTTCGGAAACCCTGACCCCAAACCCCTGAGCCCGATGTGTTCAGATCAATACTGCGTACCTAAACCCCCCCAGAAGTGGGTAGAATAATGGCCCAACACCTATAAAGTAAAAGCCAGAAAGTTGGAATATGATTATCCTAAACCCTTTATGGTAAATTATAGGGTATCCTACCCTGAAACCATATTCCAACTTTCTGGAGTTCCCTGTAACCGGCGATTATTCTACATACTTTTGGGGTCCAGGTAAGGCCTTGGTATAATCGTAATCAGGAACCCCCACAATGGATTAGGTAACTGTTCAAGCCCTTGTACTAAGGCCTGGCAGTAGGCTGTAGGCGCCTTTTTGCAGGTGTCGGCTCCTCCCGCGAAGAGAGGGGAAAAGAGGCCTTGCCACCTGGGTAGTTCTCAAAATTAGGTTCCCCTTTTGGATACCCTAAATATTAGGTGCCGTATTGTATTAGGGACCCGGACTATAATTTTGACAACCACCCACCTGAACCTAAGATGAGTTTCTTGTCGAAGGGGCCCGCACCAAAAAGTTGTTTTTGGTAGGTTCAGCTAGAACTCCAGGTTGAGGGTTTGGAGTTTACTTGGGGGTTCATAGTTAGTTATAAGTAGGGTTATAAGTCGGATAACTAAGGTTGCAACCTCTATTAGGGAACTTATAACCCCACTTATAACTACCCATGAACCTCCAAGTGGGCCCGTAAACCCTGTATATATATATATACCCTTATAGACTCCCTCTAGACTCTAGATGCCTTCAAAGGGGCCCTTAAAAGAAACCGTAATAACTAACCATGAACCTCCAAGTACTTAAAGGATCATGGTACTTAGTAACTAGGGTTATAATTAGGGTAACTCTACTTATAACTACTTATAACCCAAATTAAGGTACTTATAACCTTACTTACTAAGTCCCATGATCCTCCAAGTAGGGTTTAGGGCTTCGGTTGAATGTTTAGGCTTAGGGTTTAGCCCAAAAGGTCGGCGGTTTAGGGTTAAGGGATGAGGGTTTAGGGTTTAGGGTTTAGGGTTTAGAAGACTCCCGGGAGGATCTGGAAAGTAGATCCCCTAATTTGGGGCCCTATACTACTCGGGGTACTTTGTAGGAACCCGCATTAAGGGATCTACTTTTTGGATCCTCCCGGGGTCTGGGTTCGTGAATAGGGGCCAGAGTTCAGGGTTGAGGGTTCGGGTTTGGGCTTTGACGATTCCGAGCCTCTAAGCTTTGCACGTCTTACGCACCCCGGGGCGTTCTTGGAATCAGGGCTTGATGTATGGGCCTTAATTTATAGAGGAGGTTTTTGTGGTTTCTTAATCATTGTATGTATAACACAATGTACCCCCCATTATATTACTTTAGGCTTCTATGTGACCATAGCCCCAGTTTCCTAACCGTTTTAAGGACTTATATAAAGAAATCGTATCACGGAACCCTGGAAGGGTAGGCTTCTGAGGGTCCAGGTACTGTTCAGGGAAGTCTTCACGAGATGAATGGGTTCCTTTGCAAGCTGCGTTTATCCTGCAACGACTTGCGCAAGGCTGTGTAGCTTCGGGGTCTGAATCATCAGTAACCACATCCTTGCATAGTAACAGTACTTTTCACAGTTTTACAACAATGCACACCAGAAGCCTAGCCTCATTGTTTTGTTAAGGGCCCCTGTAGTAGAGTAAAGTAATTACGGGTCTGGCGCCGCAACTTGTGCACTTCGAAGCCCAGCCGCATATTCTCAATGAGTCGTGAACCCGAAATTCCCAACCCTAAGCCGTGCCGCGTGTGGAGTCTGCAAGGAAAGCCCGCGCAGCCATCCAGCGGGGCTACAAGCAGGGAGCCAGAGCTGACGCTGAGGTGACGAAGACGCAAAAGCAGTTCTTCGGCCAGGTCATCAAGAAGACCCACTGGAATGACGTTTGCAAGACTGCGCTGGACGAGATCACGGATGGTAGCTTCCAGATCAGCCCCAAAGCCGGCTGCGCGCGGCCTCGGAGGAATTGGTCACGGAGATCTTGTCGGCGACGATGAAGCTGGCCGTCCACAGGGACCAGACAAGCGCGAGCCGCCAGGACTATGTGCAGCTCCGCCACATTGTAGCATCCCTGACACCGCATGCCTTTTACATCCTGAGGGGTTGGTTTCTGTTTCTAGGGATCCCAAAACTGGCTCATGGTACGCATATCTAGCTTTCCTGCAAGGTAGCGCCTCAGGATGTTTAGGACACCACCACGGGCAATACTGGGGAGTCCAAAACTAGAGAATGTGAAACACAACATCAAATAAAACAGTGTAATTGGTACCCTAACTGCTCGGCCCCTCGTCTACCTGTATCTGTAAAACTTTAAAGCCCCCAAACCTAGTGTTCGAATGTTGAAACAACCCCGCTGTGCTTCAAGCTCGTGCAACATACGTTTGCACTCAACAGTGCTCTGTGGAGAGACGCTGTGCCTGTCGTTTTCGAGAAGCACTGGCAAACGGTGTTTCTACGGAGCCCAGAAGAAGTTCAACAGCAAGTGTGAAGTTCTGCTGAAATGAAACGTTGAGGGCGACTGGTTCTTGTGGGGACTTGGGGGGACCGGGGGACCCAATGCCAGCACGCAAGACGCAACTTGTGCACCTGGCTGTTGTGGGGGCCCTAAAGCTAGCACGTCGGCTTGAGTAGAACGTTGTATTTTTAGAAACGCACTCCTCACCTTGCAGAAGACAACAGAGCTAATCTCCTTTGCCTTTAGAAGTATCCGTGCTCCGAAACTTACAATGCGAATCCGGCAATGTGCTTAATGGGAACTATATGCAGTACATGCGTGAGATGCTGCTGTAGCGACCGCGTGAAAGAACTGCGTGTTAAACGAAGTTGGTTAACACGAGGTCGCACGTTAACACGGCAAACCTACCTAGCCCGCAACAGCTGAAGCCCTAGGTAAGTCCGTAGCCAAACCCTGCGTACCTGAGCCGATATGTTACAATGTTCCACACTCAGCCATTAAATCTGTAGTGCTGAGTTTGGTCGCAGGTACAGGGTTTCATATGAGGAGCATCACCCCTTACAAGATCCCTCAATGGTTAGAAATGGGCGATGAAACACGTGGAGTAGAGTTGTGCTCCCTATACCCAGAGCCTAAACCCTAAACCGCAAATCCTGTACTCCTGTACCTAGATCCTAAACCCAAAACCACAGACCCCTAAACCCAAAACCCCAAACCCCTAAACCCCGAACCTTACACCTGGAAGAATCCCAACCCGAAGCGCCAGAGCGGAACCCTCCAGGCCGAACTTCAGCGCAGCTGTCGCTGCGGATGCATCGCCCGCACCACTGGACCACTTGCACCTTAGGGTGTCTGGGCTTGTGGCATGCAGTAATTATGGCTTGAGGTTTTAGCGTTTAGGGTGCACGAACTACGGGGGTCTGAATTGGTAATGAGCCTCGTTTCTAGTTCCGATGCTTCGTAAAGTTTCAGTTTCCTCCCCCTCCGAGCTATGCTAATACTGCTAGGCTTCAGGTTTTGCCTTTTCCCTAAAACCCCTAAACGCCTAGACGCGTTCAGTGATCTCAGGTTTCATGGTCCAGGGTTTTGGGGCTTCCATCCTGAATGCCTACCTTAAGCCGGAATAACCTACCTTTTTAGGGCTCCTTGTTATGATTTCCTTATACAGGTCCTTAAAAGGGTAGGTTATTCCGGCTTAAGGTATGTTGTATTTTGCAAGTTTTCGTTTCCCCAAGTAGACCTACATTGCGCAACGTAGGAATGCCACTTGCTCGACTGGTGCAGCTCGGGATTGCCCCAAGCCCTAGATCCTGAAACCCATGCGGATTCAGAAACTCCAAACCCTGTGCAGCCTGAACCCTCAACCCGGAAGCCCCATAAAACCTAAAGCCCTCCAGACCCGAAAGCCTAAATCCTCAATCCCTAAAGATCTACGAAAACCCGAACCCACAGAGCACGACACATCCAGCCCCGAGTCCCACCCCTGAAGCCGTATGACAAGATGGAGCGGTTAGTTTAGAGTCTATGGAAAAGTTCCGACACTGCTCGTGGTTCCTGCAATGCGTGGGTTCACGGTAGCCTTGCATCTTGGGTGGAGATGGAACCCACCTTGGGTTTGTAACGATCCGAGGCTCAATTGTGTAGCAACATTGACAAAGTGTTGTTTTCGCAGGGTTCAGCAGATGTCGTTCGTGTTACCACTCTATTTACTTTCAGGTCTGTTCGTCGGAATTGTCGAGGTGCAGTTGCGTTTGTGCTTCTGGGTTCTTTGCTGCTCATGCGAGGACAACTCTCTTATGCCGGTCACCATTGAGGAGCTGGTTTCGGCTATCGAGGCCATTGGTAGTGTTCTTCTTTGTTGTTGCTGCTCTTTGTTTGACTGTGATTGTTTTAGTGGGGTTGTCTGTTTTAAGTACACTGTTTCCGCAACCCGTTTGTGCAAGCAAGCAAGTAGGTGGATATACGCATATATCATTCATAGACACATGCACAAACGGTTACCTAAATTCATGACCGAGCGAACTTGCAAATCACAAGCCATTCACTTCGGATACGGATTGGCGCGTGCATGCACGGCGCTGCAAACGTTGGCATGCAGATACACAGGGATGCGTGCATGTATGTACAGACACCGTGGAATGCCAGCACTGGCGATTCCTGCCTTCCACCTTTATACCCGAAACCTCATAGGAACAGATCAAGCAGCCCGATACGCTGAACCCAAACCCGTAAGCTCCAAACGAGCCAGCACGCGGGCAGTGACTTGCCGCTAAGCGTGTTCAGGCGCAGGGCTCGCACCGGCAGGCATAGCTAAACTGAAAGCCTTGAACCCTCCCCCAGTGGGTAAAATAATGGCCCAATGCCTATAAAAGGCCATTATTTGTTACATACTTGGGGGGCCAGGCAAGCTTCAACCCTTCTCCCAAAGCAGAGCCAGCCTAAGCTCGTAGTACCAAAAAAAGGGCCTAAATACACATACCATATAATACTATTCTGGGAGTACCTTACTATAGGTAGAGTATAAGAATATACCCCGAGAGCCCTATTCTAATTATTTAGGCCCCCCAATATGAAGTCTTTCTGTTTGGAGTCTCTGCGAGTTGCGAACTCGCTTCTTTGGCTCGGAGGTCCTGGCCTAGAGATCATTCTCAAGTCCCTTTACGGTTTGGGATTTAGGAACTTTGGGTTTAGGGTTTCGGGTTTAGGAATGTGGGTTTGGGGTTTATGGTTTTCGGACTTAGGAACTTGTGGTTTAAGGTTGAGGGTTTGGGATTTAGGGTTCAGGCTTAAGCCCTTTACTTTGAAGCCCTGCGAATGAAGCCTTGCACCACAACGCCAACCCTAAGCATCACGAATACCCAAAGCACGACGCACCACGTTCCTAGACCACATTTCGGGGGTCTTTGCCAATGCGAAGCTTGGCCGGTTTGTTTGAATATGCTAGCATGTCTTACTGCCGTAGCCTACAGTACATCCCGAGACCGAGACCTTTTACGAGCCTGTTACCTGAAACCAGGAAATTAGAGAAAAACACCAACCCCTTAAACATGAACCCGAAACCCATCCAAACATTCAAGCCTCCAGATACCTTGGGCACGGTTTAGGGTTTAGGGGCACTTGGGCCTGAACCCCCGCAAAGAGAGCTACTCAGCAACATCAAAGCCCTATCAGCCTTGTAACACCTGAAGCCCAGCCTAGCATCCCCATGCCTCCAAGCTGTGAGCCCTGAACGCGATACATCGAAAAGGCCCTAAACTAAAGGCTCTCTAACCCCGAAACCCTAAACTCTGTGCCCGTGCCTTTTTGCCAGTTTCTTTTTGCCAGGCGTCCACGCCCAATGCGAAGCAGCGGCACGCAGTCCAACTTGGGGAGGACTGTCTCAATTTCGCGTGTAGATTGGAGTTTAGGGTTTAGGGTTGAGGGTTTAGGGTTCGGTTCTGCGGGGGTAGGGTTAAAGGTTTTAAGGCGCACGATGCAAGGGTGCAGGGTTCGCAGTATTGAAGTCTGAAAGGGCTGTAGGCTCTCGCTTAGCTGACTTAGCTAGTACGACTTGGGCACTATCAGGGTTACCCGGGGAGACTACAAGGTTTGCTACAGAGGATACTCGTGTTTACCATAAGGGATACTGTAAAGGGTTTTTGCGGGCGTTGCTATAACTATATATCGGTTACCACAAGGATTAGTAGAAGGGTTACTATACGCGGTGCTTGAAGGGATACTTGAAAGGATACGATGAGGGGTACTGTTTGAAAGATACTATTCACAGCTTAGGGTCGATGGTTGAGGCTGCACAGAGTAACTTCTGCTAATGGCAGGTATAGAACAGGGTTGCATTTTTTGTATTTTATGAAGATAGTCATATAACTCCACATATGAATAGAATGTACAGCTTAATAGATGTCCGTGTTGCTGCCGCAGTCACCTAACCCTAAGTCCTTATTCAGCACCGCCCACGTCGAGTGACAGACAGCTTGTGTTTCGACAAAGCGTTCGACAGAGGACCACGGTAGGGCTGACACGAAACTTCCTAAACCCTAAACTTTTAACCCCTAAAACCCTAAACCCTGCACCCTAAACCCCTGAACCCTAAACCCTACACCCTAAACCCCTAAACCCTAAACCCTACACCCTAAACCGCTACAACCACCAAGCCCCAAGCCTTGAACCCTCAACTCCAAACCCTGAAAGCCCTCAGCCCCATACCATGAACCCTTAAAGGATCATGGGACTTAGGAAGGGCTCTTGAAGGGCTCGAAAAAGGGATCTATAGGGTTCCTTAAAGGGATCTATGGGGTTTACTTATAACCCCAATTAAGGTACTTATAACCTTACTTACTAAGTCCCATGATCCTCCAAGTAGGCCCTAAACCCCAAACTCCGAACCAGGGCCCTCCGGAATCAGTAGACATCGTGTTGTTCTTTCATACCCTAAACCCTAAACCCCAAGCCCTACATACTTGCAGCAGAACCTTCCACCAACATCCCGGAACAGAAAGTTAAACATCATTGGATATTCAGGGCCGCTATACTGTGGCTTCCTTCATAGACCTGAACCCTGAACCCTAAGCCCCAAACGCTAACGCTTGAACCCTGAACCCTAAACCCTAAACCCTTCACATCTTTTTATCCCCACACCCCGGACAGGCAGTCGGCCAGACGCTTCCGATCGAGTTGGGACCTTGATCTTGTCATGTTCTAGAGGTTGTGATCGTGCTTGATACGGTTGATGATATAAAGCCTGCATTACCTGTAATAAACAATATACTACAATTCCCATAGTTTAGGGTCCTTATTCCTTAAGGAAATGCAGGATCTATATGCTTGTTACTACCTGACTAACCTGCCTGCCTGCTTGCCTGCCTACCTACCTACCTGTGTACGTAAGTGACCATATAAAATGTGCACATCCCCTGCATGTATGTATGTGTGTATGCCTGTATGCCGTATTGTATGCCTGTTTGCATGTATGTATGTATGCATGCATGTATGCATGCATGTATCCATGTATGCATGTATGCCCATATGCATGTATGCCTACATGCACGCATGCATGTATGCATGTGATTATTCATGTATGCATGTATTGATGCCTGCATGCCCGCAGACATTCACGGATGTCTGTATGTATGTATGTATGCATGCATGCATGCATGCATGTATGTATGCATGTATGTATGTATGTATGTATGTATGTATGTATGTATGTATGTATGTATGTGTTTGTGTATGTATGTATGTACGTGTGGGTGTATATATATATATATATATATATACATATATGTTTATATACATACATATAATACATGTGTATTCCTTCTGTTCTGGGCCTGAACAGGAGGAGCCAGCATCTAATGGCTTGGGTTCGGGGTGGAAGGCTTTCGACGAACTTAAGGTTTAGGGATCAAGCAAGACGGGGAAGCTATTCTGTCTCGGAGGCTTGTGACTCAGTAAGCTGGTTTAGGGTTTATGGGTTTAGGGTTATATAGTTTAGGGTTTAGGGTAATATAGTTTGGGATCGCAAACTTCCCATGGCACATCCAGGTACATCCTAGCCGTCCTAGCCCCACTGGACCTTTGCTGATGTCATGCCACTGAGGCATATCAACATGTTCCTGTTCCCGGCTCAGCCTTGCCTCTGGTGTGTCTGTGTGCGTATGCATATTTTTGTGAGGAGGTGGAGGGGTGGGGGTTTTAGGTGATATAGGGGCCTTCATACTATAACTACAACAAGGAATCCCGGAAATAGTATAGGGAATCATTGAGGCCCCTCTAGTAGTCGGGCAAGAAACCTAGCATTAAATAGTAAAGTCCAACATCTGGAAGTCTGGCTTGGTTCGCAAGCCCCCTAAACCCTAAACCCTGAACCCCGAACCCTAAACCCTAAACCCTAAACCGAAACTCGCCTCACAGCCGACCCTAGCACCCTACTATCCCTGAGCCTCAAGCCTTGGCTTCAAAGGCCGAGGTCCTAGGCCCAGCAAAGTTCGCTTCATCCCATGGATGCAGCATGTCTTACATAACGAACGGGGGAACTTTAAACCTTTTGGCCTTATATATATATATATATATATGCTCTATCTTAGAAAGTTTGAGACGTTTGGGGCCCGGTTGTTGAAGAAGAGAGATGTAGGAGTTCCAGCAGTTTGGCTGTTTCTACGAGATTCGGTTTTCAGCTCTTGACGGCGCACATTGGGCCTTCAACCCCTCACCAGAGCCCACACATTCAAGTGTTTGTGGAACCCTCGATACAGTTGATGATATAAATCCTGCATTACCAATAATAAGGAATATACCATAATTCCCATCGTTTAGGGTCCTTAAGGTAATGCAGGATTTATATCATCAACCGTGGGACCCCGGAGAGGATCGATAAAGGAGCATCCTTAGCTCTAAAGCCTAAACCCTTAGCCATGGAAAAACCCTAAACCTTAACCCCTAAACTCTAAACCCTAAATGTTTGAGGCGGGCACTGAAAGTCAAGATCGTGGAGCGAGCTCAAACCGACGGTGTCCAGGCTCCGCACTGCGACTTCGAGGTGGTTTGAGATCCTTTAAGGGCCCGTCAGTGCGTTTTAGGCCACAAGGCTGTAGGGCCATGGGCCATAGTGCTTGGGCTTCTAGGGGTTAAGGCTTCCAAGGCTTGAAGCCATAAGCCGTAGGCTCTCAGGCTGTAAACATCAGAAACGTAGCGTCATTTTTGCTTAGGACGGTTGTGGAGAGCTTTCTAGCAGTTTTGCGGGATAGAGAAGTCGCACATGAACGTACGGATGCCAACAGGCCCGTGGTGAGCTTGTTTGGGACTGAATGGCTTTCGACGGCCGCGGACAATCCCAAGCTGAACCCAAAGCTCTTAACCTCAATCCCCAAACACTAAATTAAAGCCCTAAGCCCAAAACCCTAATCCCTAAACCCTAATCCCGATGATGTCATCCTTGTAATCCAGGTGCAGACCCCTCGCGCAGTCGCGTCGCCAGGCCAAGCGGGTGTGTGTGATTTTGAAGTGTTTTTACGTGTTGAGGGATTAGGGTTTAGGGTTCAGGGTTTAGGGTTCAGGGTTTAGGGTGTAATTAGAGTAACTAGAGTTTAGGGTTTAGGAATCTCATAGAACTAAATTTGTTAGAGTGGATAGTAGGGGTTATGTAACGTAGGGTTCACAGAAACTTTTTTTGATTTTTTCGGTTCAGTGCAGCTGTGACGTCTCAACACTGCTTCGTTTAGTGGTCGCAGTAGTGGGCGTGGTCGTGGTCGTGGTCGTCGTAGCAGCAGCAGCAGCAGGAGCAGGATCAGGACATGTCCGACCCGGCATGAACGGGACCAGACCCAAGCCACACGTCGTCAGCCAGCCACTTGAAGGATCATGGGATTATCAGTAACTAGGGTTATAATTAGGGTAACTCTACTTATAACTACCTATAACCCAATTAAGGTACTTATAACCTTACTTACCCAGAGACCCCAATATCCCTTAATTAAGGAATACTCCTTAAGTTATAGTAGGATCCCTAATATGATTTCAGGAATATTCCTTAATTAAGGGATATTGGAGTCTCTGGGTACTAAGTCCCATGATCCTCCAAGCAGTACGCGAAAGCTGCCGTCCTCAACAACCATGTGCTCCGCATTCACAGCGTAGGAGGCAAAATCGGTGAAAAATAAAACACTGCATGGTCCTACAAGAAACGAGAAGCCCACACGACATCGACTTGGAAGATTAAAAGGTGAAGAAGTGATGGAAACTCCGACGGACCGTGAGTTTGCTCACCAGAATACAGTCGAGCACCTACCGAGCCCTTTTCCGCTCAAGTCTTCAGAAGGACGGAGGCGGCAGTCGCAGTCGCAGTCGCAGTGGCAGTAGCAGTAGCACCAGCAGAGTAGTAGTAGTAGTAGTAGTAGTAGTAGTAGTAGTAGTAGTAGTAGTAGTAGTAGTAGTAGTAGTAGTAGTAGTAGTGGTGGTAGTAGTAGTAGTAGTAGTAGTAGTAGTAGTAGGTCGTCAACGTCGTCGTCGTAGTAGTAGTAGTAGCAGTAGTAGTAGTAGTAGTAGTAGTAGTAGTAGTAGTAGTAGTAGTAGTAGTAGTAGTAGTAGTAGTAGTAGTAGTAGTAGTAGTAGTAGTAGTGGGAGCAGTAGCAGTAGCAGTAATTGGCGCAGTAGTTGGCAGAAGCGGTGGCCGTAGCCATGGCCGTAGGTGTAGGTGTAGTGGTAGTGACAGTTTGTGTTTGTGTTAGTGGTAGTGGTAGTGGTGGTCGTCGTCGCCTTCATCGTCGTCATCTGGTTACTCAAGCAGTTGGTGTTTATGGCTCATGGCTCAAACGTTTAAGCGCCTTTGTCAGGGATTTCGATATCACGATGTAGGGATATAGGTTTATTTGTTTTAGCCAAATCCATAAATACTATAGGGCTCTGTGGCGGCTTTTGCTCTCGAGGTGGCGCTGATCCTGCACTCAGCAAAGCTGCCACCGTCAAATCACCGGGCTTGCCGAACTCTGCCACTTCCTGAGCACTCGGGGAACGTGGCTTGTGAGGTGGGTTCAGCGTTTGGGGGTGATTGGGATTCGTCCGGGTGAGAGTTGTACGCCCTTGTAGAACCGCAGGGCATGTAGAGATGAGGGTGAAATGGCTGCGTGCACCACGGGAATACTGGAGCATGCGATGCAAAGCCAGAGGAGCAAACACACGTGGTAGTTTATGGTTCAGGGTTCGATTTGGGCGGACCAATATCCCAGCAACAGGTTTTAAGCATGGAGGCATGCGTGCAACACCCACCAGCCCACCTTGACACCCATCATCCCGCCACAGGATACAGGGCATCAGGAGCACGAGTCATTTCCGCAGGATTCCTCGAACGACCTGTACCAACGGACTGGTTTGGGGGTTTAGGGCAAACCGTACTTCTTAATCCGTTTCAGCAGCGCAGCATCCATCACCGAATCTTGATCTCCTACCTATGCGGATTCTTGTCGTGTTGTGACAACCGGCTTGAGCCGAAACCTTGACGGTACACCACTGGGTTTAGGGTTTAGGGTATAGAGTTTAGGGTTTAAGGGTTTCAGGTTTAGGATTAAGGGAGAGATTGAGCACACATCTTCGAGACACCCTACACCTGGAATCTTGTGACTTCAAATGTGTCCCCGCGAAAGCCAAAGGCCCAAACTCCAAGCCCTAAGCCCGAAAAGACTCAAACCATATAAACCCGAAGCCTACAACACAGCCCCTGCACCCGCCAACTACACTTTTTTGGTGGGCCCTAGGTACCTCTTTATGAGGAGTGAGACTGCTTGAAACGGCGTCCGGGGGGGGGATTCGGGTTTAGGGTTCAGGTAGTGTTTACAAGGGTTACAAGGGTGAAGGGTTCACATAGATCCACCTAAAGCCCGCACCCGACATAGGAACCGGAATAAACCACAAATAGAACCACGTGAACACGATATTTTGCAGAGCACCCTAAACCCTAAACCCCCACCATCCTAAACCCTAAACCCAAAACCCTAACCCAAGGCACCGAAATCTGGTGCTGCCACGCCCAAAGCCACGCCAAGCGGCCAACCGCCGGCAGGGAAGGTGGTCATGGCCAAGGCGACTTTCCAATTTTATGGGGTTTATTTACTGTAAACTAGTTTGGGGGGCTCCCTACTATAATCAGAGTATAATAGACCCCCAAAACCTGTTCTAATTATTTAGGTCCCGAAAAGCACAGTCTCCATCGTAGTTCCTTGTCTTGGTTCAACCAAATGAGTAATTAGGATCCTAGAAGGTAACGCCAAAAAAGAACTACAACGGAGACTTCGGTTTAACCACATGAATATTTAGGATCCTATAAGTCTATGTGGTAACCCCAAAGACGGACGTACAATGGAGACTTTGGTTTAACCACATAAATAATTAGGATCCTATAAGTTTATATGGTAACACCAAAAAGGATCCTATAAGTCTAAATGGTAATCCCAAAAAGGATCCTATAAGTCTAAATGGTAACCCCAAAAAGGAACCACAACGGAGACTAGAGGGATCGGATTGAGGCTTCGGGTTTTGGGGCTCGGGGCTCTGAGTTTCAAGGGTTTAGGGTTTCAGGGGTCGTGGACTCGGATTGAGGGTTGAGGGTTTCGGGTTGTAGTGTGTAAGGTGTAGGGTTGAGGGTTTAGGTCAGGTTAAGGGATTTGCATCAGAAGCTTGAACTTTTCAGCACATTAGGTTTAGATTTCGGATTTAAGACCTCGGGCGTAGGCTTGCGAAAGGAGCGAGGGTTGGGCTTAGGCCGTTTTGGCGATGCCGGCTTTTAGTGAGGGTTTAGGCTTAGGTTTAGAGTTATGCAAGACTTCTGGAATCGAGTCTTTTGGCGTAAATGTTGGCAGCCGATGGTTGCTTTTCCTTGCCTTTCGCACAGGCAACGCTGTCAAAGTCTGCAGGCATCATAGCCAAGGCCCACCCGTTTGATGGTCCCTTCAGGCTTTAAGGGCTCTTCTTCAAGATTCCTTAAAGGAAGCTTTAAGGATGTTCTCAAGGGTTACTTTACTGCTTCGGTTTGAAGACTCCTTTGAGGGTTCCTTCAGCACTTTTTTGTTCCGGGACCTAGGTTTGAAACGAAGTTTGATGGTTTCGGCCCCCCACCGAAACGCGGCTTTAGGGTTTTGATTAGCGAGTTAAGGGTTTTCGGTTTTGGGTCTCGGGGGTTAGGGTTGAGCGTTTAGGGCTTTAGGGTTTAAGGCTTTACTGGTCTAGCGGTCTAGGGTTTGGGCCTGCAAGGCTTCAAGACCAAATGGGAGTTTCCGAAAATTAGGGGTGCCGTACTTTGGGGTCCTTATAATAAGGATCCTACAATTTCGGGTACTATATTTGGAACCCCGATTTTCGGAAACTCCCAATATGTTCTTCCCCCCACACTCGACGATTCAGCCGTGCGCAGAACTTCTTCATCTGCAAGCCGTTCCCCCAACCTACTTGGAGGATCATGGGACTTAGTAAGTAGGGTTATAAGTACCTTAATTGGGGTTACATGTAGTTATAGGTGGAGTTACCCTAATTATAACCCTAGCTACTAAGTCCCATGATCCTTCAAGTAGTTTAAATTGGAGCCCGCAAGCCTCCTTTAAACCATCCCATGGTTTCATTTGTACCCCCCAAACCCTCCGGCAGCACGGACAGGAAAGCAGCCTCAGTCTAGGGTTCAGGGCAATAGAGTTCAACAAGGGTCTCAAGTCACCTTGTTCTACATGTTTAGGGTTTGGGTTTTGAGGCTTCCTCGATAGCTGAAAGCTGCCTTATTCTTGAAACTATGAAGCCGAACTCTGAACCAGAATCCCTGCAAGCCCTGTCGGCCCTAAACCCTAAACCCTAGATGCGGGCAAACCCTGCTACCCCCAAAACCCTTTCAGCCCTACACGCCTTGCAAGCCCCAAAGCCTAAGCCCTAGATGCCCAAAGCTTGAAAAACCTTACATAATCCAAAAACCCTATAAGCCCTACATAATTAAGCCCTAAACCCTATAAACCAACCCCACAGAAGCGCTATATAATTACCTTTGCCCCAGACTCCAAAGAAGCCCTGAGGTGGGACTTGGCTCGCCGGCAGGAACTCCACCCACAGTGCCGCCTAAGGCTGTTGTGGCGAAGGCCGGTCTCCCTACTTAAAGGATCATGGGACTTAGTAAGGGCTCTTAACGGGCTCTTTGGAGGGATCTATAGGGATCTATGGGGTTTAGGGTTTAGGGTCTACTTAAAGGGTCATGGGACTTAGTAACTAGGGTTATGATTAGGGTAACTCGTCTAATAACTACGTATAACCCCAATTAAAGGTACTAATAACCTTACTTTCTAAGTCCCATGATCCTCCAAGTAATGAGGTCTCCGGTTGGTGGTTCTTAGGGATTTAGGCTTTAGGGTTTAGGGTGCTGGGGTTTAGGGATTGAGCACTTTAGGGTTTAGGGGGTTTAGTTTAGGGTTTAGGGTTCAGGGTTTAAGGCTTGCGGTGGCATAGAGCATGGGCGAAAATATTCGGAGAGGTCGCTAATTCGAGTGCAAACCCTCTTCCATTAGTAAGGATAATCACGGGATCCTTGTGCTGTAGTCCGTATGGAAGAGTTTAGGTATTCAGTCCGCATGAAAGCATGCACGAGACTGTCCGTTCATGCTGTTTCAGCCAAGAGATTCGTTACGGGATTCAGGGAACTTCGGGCGGTAAGGTCTCTAGCAGCCAATTTGTTGTGGTATCGAGGGCTCGGGCTTATCTACGTTTTTGACGGTGGTCCAGACCTTAGAGCTACTTCCGCGCCGCAGGGTTGAGGTTCAAGGTTTCAGAACTGCCAGCACTTGGGATTGACCTGTGTCGCTTCAGTATTGGGGATTTCACGCCGTGTGTTTGCCTGATTGTGTAAGGGCTCCTTACATTCAGGGTTACCCTAAACCCTAAACCCTAAACCCCTAAACCCTAAACCCTAAACCCTAAGCGCATAACCCTAAACCCGCAAACCCTACTTCTGGAATCTTGCGAGTTCAGAGTATAAAGGCCCTCTCCTCCCGGCTCGTTGAGGCCAGCCAATATAGGGGTCTGAATAAAAAGGTTAGAGATAATATGCTTTTAAAGTCGCTTCGGAACCATATACTGTCGCATACTCCTAAGCCCTAGTCTACTTACTCGGGCCCCCATTTCAGGACAAGCAGAAACATGGGCATAGCGAGCAGAGTTGAGGGCCGTTGAGGGGTTCCGGGTGCAGGGTTTAGGGGTGAAGGGTTTAGGGGTTTATGTCGGATTTTAGGTTCATGGGCCCGTGCCGGTCCTGCCATTTATTTAGGACCCCAACAGGACATAAGCATAAGCTTTTGAAAGGGATATCCCTACCCTTCCTGGGCTTCATTATAAGGGAGTTTATATGAGATATCCCTATCCTACTTTTTTGCTTACGTCCTTTATTGGGGCCCTATTTATACACCCGGAAGTAGCCGACAAGCACGCAGAACCTATCCAAGGAACTCATCTTCGGCACTCAAAACCGGCTTAGGGGGTCTAGGGTTCAGGGTTCAGCGGCCTACCCGGAGGCCCCATAGTAGTTCCTTTTTTTGGGGGGTTCATATTCAGAATCCTATAAGGTAATGTTAAGAAGGAACTATATACTATGGGCCTCTGGGTACCCTACATACACCCTAAACCCTAATTCCTAAGCCCTAGACCCTAAACCCTAATTCCTAAGCCCTAAACCCTAAACCCTAATTCCTAAGCCCTAAACCCTAAGCCTTAATCCCTAAACCCGAATTCCTAAGCCCTAGCCCCTAAACCGAATGCACCAAGTGCCTGCACCCTCCGCTCTGGCGAGGTACCGGCCAAGGTACCCGTGAAGGCAGCGCCGGCGAAAGCGAAAGCCGCAGGGAGCCACAGCCGGAAGAACGAGTCTCAAGGTTCAAGTTTTAGGGTTTAGGGTTTATAGGGTCTAGGAATTATAAGGAATTAGGGTTTAGGGCGCAGGGTGTAGGAACTGGGATTTAGGAATTAGGGTTCAGGATTTAGGGTTTATTGCGTAGGGTTTAGGTATCGAGCGTCGATAGGTTCTCCTCAGGAAGAAGTTTCATGCTTGATACAGCATAAATCCCAAGGATTGTGAAACACATTTTTCACTTTGGGTTCATGGCAGTCAGGACCCCTTATGTACGGGGTCTCTTGTTTAGCCTCTCTCAGCTACTTTCATCTCACATTTTTCGGGCGGTTGGAGTAGAAGAACCGAGTTCAAAGCATACTCATCTAGACTTTCATGGCAGTGGTATGGTCCTAACTGTTGAGTTTGTCGCATGAGGGTTCGATGTCGAGTACAGAGGTTCTCGATGTTTCCCTTTGGCTAGGCCAGTATTTCTACGCGTCAGCTACCCTAACCCCAAACCGTAGCAGTGCTTGGACTACAAAAAAGATACCCTACCTATAGTCTCCATTGTAGTTCCTTTTTGGGGTTACCTTATGGAATCCTTAATATATGATTGGTTAAACCACAGAAAGGAACTACAATGGAGACTATAGGTAAGCCTTGAAGTCTGAGCCCAAGCTCTGAACCCTGAGCCCTTCACTAAGCACTGCGCCTCTTGAGCCCTTGTGGCAAAAGACACCGTGCTGCTCTTTCTGGGAGTGGAAGCTCTGGCCATACAACTGTACTCAAACCTAGTAACCACCCTTCAGAACCAAGTTCTATAGTGGTCTTAACCCTAACCCCAAGCCCTAAATCCTACTCCTTCATCTCTCACTCCTAGACCTAACCCTTCGACCCTAGGCCCTGCCCTAAGCCCTAGCCGAAAGCCTAAAATACTACACCTCCCAGGCACCTGCAGAGGAGCCGGCTCCGGAGAGCGGGGAGCTCGGTGTTATAGGCTCCTACAAGGGAGCCTTTATACAATTTTTAACGGTACTCTTCAAAAGAACCCTCTAAAGAGCCCTTAATGGAATTCCTGAAAAGATTTCAAAACAGAACACCGAAGAGAAGCATTAAAGGTGCTCTTAAAGGATTCCCTAAGGGCTCCGTTGGCTTTTGGGACATTAACTTTTTTTATCTCCTGCGAATTTTCGTTGGGTTTTCCCTAGGAATCATGGTTCATTTTTCTAGAGAATGACTTGCTGGTCGATGAGCGGGTGGGGATGTGGGCTTGTCGGCTGTATGACGTTTCCCTGTTGCGTTCTGGATCGTATTTTTAGGGTTTCTCTTTGAAGAATATGAATCCTCTTTTTTTCGAGAGGGGGGGGGCACCTCGGCGCAGTTGGCCAGCTGCAGGAAACCTGGCAGCCCATCCACGGGCCCAACAGCACCCTCGCGGGGGGGGGGGGGGGATCTACACAGTACCTCCACCGCTGCCGCACACGCAAGCAACAACCACAGCCCACACAGTACTCCGAGCGGGCAAATGGCTAAGCCGCGTGGAATCCTTGAGGGGACACCCACAAGACCGGATGAGAGGCTCATTGAACCCATCCCCCAGAGCATGCCGGTCCAGATCTATCCCGCGATTAGCAGAGAAACATGGCTATAGGTGGCTCGCAACAGTCGCACAAGGACGTTATTCAAAACCATAAATAAGGACTACTTGGACCCTCAGGGAAAGATGTGAAAGTGCTTAGCGTTGAGCTGCCGGAGTACTTCTCATTCCAATGGGACGAGGATCAGCCCGGCCCTGTGTTGGTGGCAACTCTGGCTTTAGGGTTTGGGGCTTATTCTGTTTCTTGGGCTTTAGGGCTTTGGGGTTTAGGGTGGACACGGTTTCTTGGGCTTTGGGGCTTTAGGGTTTAGGGGTTGTCACTTGTCTTGTAGGGGTTAGGGTTTCGGGTATGTCGGGTCAGGCACACATCCTTTGGCCGGCTTCCGGTGAAAGGCTTGAACTAAGACCCAGAGTAGGCCCTTATTCCTTTGTTTAGGGCTTAGGTTCCCTTATAACCCCCTTTTAAACCAAGAAGGGCACCCTCTTTATTCCCAGGTCACCCCGTGAATCGAAGGAAGACTGCACCACACCGCAGGTTGAGGTCGAAACATGAACCCTGAGCCCTAAACCTTAAACCCTCCACCCTTCAGCCCTGAACCCTAAACCCAAAACCCTAAACCCTCAACCCTGCACCCTAAACCCTAAACCCCAACCATCAATGAAACTCCAAAAACCCTAAACCCCCAAACCCTAAACCCAAAACCCTAAACCCTCAACCCTGAACCCTAAACCCTAAACCCCAAACCCTCAATCCTTCAGCCCTGAGCATTGAAACCCCTTCCCTACTTATAACCCCACTTATAACCCCACTTATAACTACCCATGAACCTCCAAGTAGCCTTAGTCAGAACCCGGAAAATCACCAATGAGCCCTTCGAAGCACCTCAACCCAAAGCTGTACACAGAACGCCCCAAGCCTTGCGCAACCAGAAGACGATACAACAGTTGACGTGCATCTGTGGGTATATAAACTGTATACATATGTATATATGGATATAGTGATACTGCCGTTTAGCTGAGGCCTTTTGCAATACCCCTAAACCCCTAAACCCTGACAGCAAGCAGCTAACTTCAATCGTCTCCAAGGTGTCTCCAAGGCGTCACCGCCCGCGAGCCCACCGCAGGAGGATGCCCTGTGCGCCCACACAGGATGAACGAGGATGGAGGTTCTACTATAGTCTCGTCAGGATTTTTTAAATCTTTGTTCATATAGCCCAAACGCATTATTTTTATTATGGTTCTAAGGGGGGCATCGTGTCTACGGTTTAGCAGCAAGCGCCATCGAAAACCAGCATGGGGTTTAGCAGATAGGGGTTCTAGTAGTGTAGTCTTGGGCTACATGGCCTTGAATATTCAGCAGCAAAATTGAATCGTTACTGTCCTCGAGTCGACTATACTTTAAATTTAATGTACCCCAAAAACTCTACGGCCTCTAGAACGGCCTTGGAAATCCGGGTTCCGAAGATAGGGGACCGTCATATCTACCCTAAAATAGTGACATTTTTATTACAAGGAGCCCAAAATAAGGTACCCCGAAGTTTCGGAAACTCCCAAATCAGGATTCCGAAGATGGACCGAGCTGGAGGTTGAGGGTTGAGGGTCGAGTGCTATGCCGTTCTTGAATCGGGTCTCGGGTTTGGGGTTTAGGGAATAGGGTTTAGCGTTTAGGGATTAGGGTTTAGGGGTTAGGATTGAGGTTTTGGGTTTAGGTACTCGGGTTTAGCGTTTAGGGGAGGGTCTTGGATGTTTCTCTGTTTTCGCAGAGGTACGTTCTTAAGAAGGGGCGGAAGTTCTAGCGTTGAGGGGGCTCTGAGGGTACCCAATGCATTGTTTTGGAAGCCAAGGTTGGGACGGTTTAGGGTTTAGGGTTTAGGGCTAGGCCCTGCGAAGCAAATCCTACCCAAAACCCGTCGAAAACTGCACAGTACCCTGATTCCCGTCTGCCGTGCCAGCAGGTATCAGCTGGTGGGTGAGCTCACAGATGCACAACCTGCACGCTTGGGTTGTGGCATTGATAGGTCAAGAGCTTGTTCATCCTAAAGAATTCCTGCCTAAATCCCAAACCAAGCATGGTTCAGGATTTGTTTCGGCTGTGTCCAGAGTTGGGGGAGTTGGGATTCGGGCTTGGGGATTGTTGCTCCCGGGCCCTGCAGAGTTTGACATGTCTGCGGTCAAGCTGCATAAGCAGCTTGATTTGGGTTTCGACTTGACTTTTTTGGCTCAGGGCTGTAGAAGGGCTGTGGGTTGAAGGTCTCAACGGTCCTTCCTCAGATAGTTAAGGCATAAATCTTTCCCAAGATCCGAGAGACACCAGACTATTGTGTGTTACAGCTCCATGGCTACTTGCCGAATGTCGAGTGCAGCAAGTTTTGGAGGATGTGCGCTTAAAAGGGCATCGTATCCTAATGTACGACATATCAGAATACGAGCCATACTACGATTTGCTTAAGAAACCCCCAAAAAATAAAAATAACAATCCCTATATTACCCCATAAGGAATATATTTTTTTTATTTTTTGGGTGGTTCTTAAGCAAATAGTAGCATAGTCGGCAGTAGCGAGAAACTTCCGGCAATACAGGTAGATCATTGATAGAAGCTTCAATAGTGACGACTACTATTCCTTGGGGTTCCTTGTGATAGTCATACTAAACGCGAGGAGGAGGCTTCCATCCAGAACCCTGGAGGGTTTAATCCTAAACCCCACACTTCCGTACACTGAAATTCGGCTTTTCAACATGCCAAAAGGCCCACGGCCTTAAGCCATCGTGACGATCCCAAACCGCACCCTAAGCACTGGGGCTGATTTTGATGAGAAGGATAGACTTCTCCGATCCGGTAACCTACGGCCAATCTACAGGAGCATTTGCAAACCAGCCACACTCAACGGGTCAAACGCAGCACGCGCCATGTCAAGCATACTGAACCGGAGAACAGAGTCGTGAAATTAGAGTCTAGGACCTAGAGTAGGCCTTTATTCCCTTTTTCAGGTGTTCAGGTTCCCTTATAAGCCCCTTTAACCCAAAAAGGGCACCCTTTTTCTTCGTAGGTTACTCTTGGGTCTAGGAGGAGTCGGCATCTATGGCCGGCGGCTCCAGACACCCTGCAGAGTTGAACCCTCGTTTCGCTTGCCCTTGAACCTCCCTTCGCATCCGTTGCAACAACCGAATCCCGAAGCCGCCGAAGACCCTAAACCCTAAACCGAAACCCTTAACCGGTCGCAAACCCCAATCAAACCCTAAACCGAAACCCTAAACCCGAAACCGGCCCTAAACCCCACACAAACCCTCACCCTAAACTTTAAAAGCCGACGTTCCCTTTTCGAAGGATCCCGTCGTGCAAGATGGGCTCATCCTGGAGGATCGAATCAATGAGGCCAAGGGGTAGCCCTAAACCCTACCTGGACCCCCAAAATATGTAGAATCAGAGCCTTTCAAAGGTATTGGGCCATTATTTTACCTACTTTAGGGGGTTTGGGTAAACCCTAAACCCTGAATTATGCAGGGCTTCGGCTGGTCAGGGCGTAGGGTTTGGGGTTTAGGGTTTAAGGATTTAAGGGTTTAGGGGCGTAGGGTTCAGGGTTGGGGGTTTAGGGTTTAAGGGGTTTAGGGGATCTTAAGGGTTTGGGGCTTTAAGGGTTTAAGGGTTAAGGGCTTTAGGGTTTAAGGGTTTAAGGGCTTAAGGGTTTCGGGTTTTAGGAGTTGAGAGCCCAGCCGTAACTGCGAGGTCTTCCGCCGACTCTGGGAGAGCGTTGCGCGGAGGCCCAAGGCCAGACCATGGAGTCGCCAAGTACTCAAGGGGTCCAGAGTTTCTGGGTTATCCTTTGGGATCTCTTTTGATCTCCCCTACTATTTTGTAGAGCACCATCATAGTAAGTAATTTTCAATGGGCTTCAAGGACAACTCAGGTTTAGAGTTTAGGGCGTACGGTTTGGGGTTTGGGGTTTATAGGGTCCAGGGTTTAGAGTTTGGGGTTTAGGGTTCGGGGTTTGGGGTTTACGGTTTAGAGCTCGGGGCTTTAAGTATGAAAGTTTAGGGTTTGGGGTTTAGAATTGGGGGTTTTGGGTTTAGGGTTTCGGGAGTTTGGGTATTGTCCATGACCATCGTGGCCAGTCATTCAGACCTCTTCGATATGCAACATGTCACATGTCAGTTGACCATGTTGCGACTCAAACCTCAGTCACCCAGAGCTCTTAGATGGACGTCTTGCGAGGGTAGGAATCCTTATATACTGTGGGGGCGTCGGAATATTCGCCAAGATCAGCGACAAGGGTTCCCTATTACGCTGAAACCGTGACATACCTCAAAAGTCGGTTCTAATCCTTCAGGCACCTACATTGCACCCCCTGCAACCCGGAATGGTAATTACGATGTCCTGGCCGCTGAAGGAACACAATTCGGAGGTATTTCGACTGCAGTGGAAGCTTTGCAACCAGATTGTCAGATTGTGGTGTGTTGTGACTACGTAGGTGTCCCAAACTACCCATAGGCTCCATAGTAGTTCCTTCTTGGGATTACCTTATAGGATTCTATATATGAACCCCAAGAAGGAACTACTTTGGAGCCTCTAGGTACAGGTGCCTAGAAGAGGATCTTCAGGTTCAGGGGGTGTGTGCGTGCGGGGGTGTATATGTGGAATGCGTCTCTTACCGACCCCTCCCCCACCCAAACCCTAAACCCCTAACCCCTAAACCCCTATAGAACCCCTAATCCCTAAACCACCCCTCCCCCCCCCCCTCCGGAAACACTCAAACCCCAAAGCCATAAGCCCTCTGCCCTGCAGCTCGAGACCCCCTGAAGGATTGGGTCGCAGCCTGGCAAGCGATGGGTATTCCGGCAGACAGACAAGGGGAGGCCTCCTTCTTGCTCGCTTTTTTCTTTGTCATAGTTGGGTAACATTTTGGAAGTTTTGCGTACTTAAACAAAATAAGGAATATAAATTAAAATGGCTAATCCCATCCCAACCATGAATTAGTTCTGGCTCGCTTTTTTTTACGGTGTGTCTTGCACGACTTTCGAAAAATAGGATTCCTGGGTGGCACTTTGGGAAACTGTGAAGTTTCGCTTTTGTCCTATAGCCCTAAACCTTGGGGGCCCCCCAAACTGCAACCCAGACAAGGGTTTCGGGTCGGCGTTGCAGCAGCGGCGCCGCAGAGAGGCAGCCGTACTCGCAGTCGTAGAGGCAGCGGCCCTAAGGGTCCATGTTAATGTATTATTGTATACTCCCCCAAATAGTAACCTGCATAACTACTATCCTAAACCCAAGTACCTAACTATTGGGTCCTTTGGACCCTTAGTGTGGTAGATGTGGTCGTCGTCGCAATCCTCGTCGTTGCCCTCGTCGTCGTCGTTGTCGTGGTCTTCGTCATGCTCCTGGCGGTAGCGGCCTAAACCCTAGACCCTAAACCCGAGTGTTACTGGCGGTGGCAGCATTAGCAGCAGCCGGAGGCGGAGTACGAGTAGGAGATACTGGCGCTGCTTGAGTGATTTTCCAACGACCAAGAATCAAAGCACCTCTTCAGCTAGGACCTAGAGTAGGCCCTTATTCCCTTTTTTAGGGTTCAGGTTCCCTTATAAGTCCCTTTAACCAAAAAGGGCACCCTTTTTATTCCTAGGCTACTCTTGGGTCTAGTCAGGCTTCATAGAGACTGTCTAGTGCTTTAGCTGGTTTCGGAGCAGGCCCTCCAAAAATTCTTGAACATTGCCTTTGTGCAGACGGAGGACGGCCTTGGAAGTGAAAAGGGTTTCGGGTTTAAGGTTTAAGGTTTAGGGTTAAGGGTTTAGGGTTTAGGGTTTAGGGTTTAGGGTTAAAGGGTTAAAGGGTTTAGGGTTTAGGGTTTAGAGTTTTAAGGGTTTAGGTTTAGGCAGCCCTAGAACCCACTGAGACTAGTTTGCCCAAACCTTATAAGAGGGTTTCAGGATTCAGGGCTTCGGGTTCCCTCGAGTCTAGGCTTCATAGGTACAGGTACGCCACCTGTTTGTACACAGCTGTTGGGGCAGAGTTTTCGGTTCTCCCTTTGTTCATGACGCTTTGGGCACTTCAGGCCTTGTTTATATCTAATCCGGAGTTTACACGGCTCCTTGTTCTGGCACAGGACTTCTCATAATATGTCAATACCGGCTCTCTCTTTCGATTCATAGAGACAGGAACGTGGTGTCACTTTCGGCACCAAAAGTCTTGAGACAGGAGCCCCTATTCCTAACCCAGGACTTGACAAACCCCAAATCTTAAATCCTGAACAACTCTCCGCAGCAGCGCTCAGTTGCAAGAGCCTTTACACGGTTTAGGGCTTAAGGTTTAGGGATCTTTACGAACATCCTATGACATGAAACATCAAGGAAACTCCAGTTCTAGTGTGGCAACGGGAAAATGTCTATGTGTCACTGCAACAAGACCCATAGTCTCCATCGTAGTAGTTTCTTTTGTTTACCAACTTTCTTATCTGTGGGATCCTACAAGGTACGGTCCCAAAAAGGGAACCAGAATCCCCAAACCCTAACCCTTAACCCCAACCCAAAACCCTAAACCCTAAACCTTAAACCCTAAACCCTAAACCTTAAACCCTAAACCCTAAACCTTAAACCCTAACCCTAAACCGTCCAAACCCTACAGTAAAGCAGAGAGGATCCCGACAAGGCTCCTCTGATCCTTGCGGAGCTCGCCTGGCTCCCAGCACAGGGGCTGCAGGGTTCCCCCTAAACCCCAATCCCTGAACTACCCTAAACTCAACCCCAAACCGTAATCCCTAAACTACCCTAAACTCAACCCCAAACCCTAATCATGTGTTTGTACGTGTACGTGTACATATGGGCGGTTGTCAAAATTAGGGTCCCCTTTTTGGGTACCTTAAATATTAGGTGCCGTATTATAATAAGGACCCCAAAAGGGACCATAATTTTGACAACCACCCATATATATATATATATATATATACACACACTTATTTCTACTGTGTATACTATATATATATATATATATATAGTATAGTATAGTATAGTATAGTATAGTATAGTATAGTATAGTATAGTATAGTATAGTATAGTATAGTATAGTATAGTATAGTATAGTATAGTATAGTATAGTATAGTATAGTATAGTATAGTATAGTATAGTACATATATATATATACATATACATATACATATATACACATGTTTATCTGGATACACATGCAGATATGTGTGTATGTATATGCGTATGTATATTTATATGTATATTTATATGTTTATGCTTTTGTATGTGTGTATGTATTTGTTTTTGGATATGTACATGTAGATGTGTATAAGTATATATTTATATATGTATATATGTATATATGTATATATGTATATATGTATATATGTATATATGTATCTATGTATATATGTACATTTGTATATGTGTATATGTGTGTATGTATATACACATATACATATATACATACATATACATGCACATGCACATGCATATGGACGTGCAGGTGTACGTGCACAGGCACATGCAAATGCACGTGCACATGCATGCAAAGACGTATGGATGACTGAGTGCACGGATGGTTCGGGATGGGATGGGATGGGATGGATTGGATTGGATGGATGGATGGAGGATTGATGGATACGCACGTGGAGGGATAGTACTTCAACAAAGGCTTGATTTCATCATGTATGGTGCGAGCATGAGATGCCAAGCCCTGACTGACGTACCGTTGGCAAGCATGATAATGTGCTTTCCCTTCCAAGTTTGTTTAGTAAAGTTCAGTGGTTGCTGGAAGGTCGGATCCTGTTAGAATTCAGGGTTTGGGGAGTTTGAAAACATCCGGGACTTCTCATAAACACCCGAAGGCGTACAGTCTTTCTCCGAACGTAGAGTCTTTCCAGTTACGAAGACCCCCTCCTTGTTACAATCACCCCACATGATTCCTGGGAGTCTCAAGGCGTCAGCAGCCCTGAGACCCGGAACACCGGCCGGGTATGGGGTTGAGAGCTTCGGGTTTAGAGTCTAGAGTTTAGAGTCTCGGCTTTAAAGATTTTAGGGTTTCGGGTTAAGAGTTTAGGGCTTACTCTCATGTCCATACTTGCGTAACCCCTAAGCCCTAAGCTCACAGCACATGCACTAGATCCATATTATAGAAGCCCGAAAAATACCAACAACGTTATTCTATGGGCTGCTTATGGCGATGGTACTAAAAAAGGAGCCCCAAACCCCCTATTCAGGCCCTATTCTACTTGTTGAGGCCCTTACGTTAGATTCAGGGTTCGGGGTCACGGTCTCGGCATGTCTCGGCATTTTCCTTTTATAGAGGATGTGGGCAACCCTAAGCCTTAAACAAATCACCGAGGTGAAATGCCACAAGATCAAGATGCGAGCTATTGAAGATGTCTTCCTCGCCTTCGGGTGCCTGGGAGAGTTTTGGGATTTTGGATTTAGGGGGTGTAGGGTTTAGGGTTTAGGGCTGGTGTAAAGGCACGGAGGCTCCCAGATTCAATCATGTCTTAGCCGTTTCAACCCTAAATCCTCAACCCTAAACCCTAAAACCGTGTCGGTCTCGACTTTCTCATCTTCCCAACCTGGAGTTCTTGAAAGCTAGACCGGCAACTGGACGGCTTCAGTTTTACGGCTCAAGGCTTAGATGTTGAAGGCGTTTTGAGATGTGGGGTTTCGGGTTTTGGGCCAAGTTTTGGGGCTGAGGGAGTCTCAGCCCGAACCAGGCAGAATCTCGATGGCATCCTAGCTATCAATGAAGATGCTTGGCAAGTCTATGCCAAGTTTCTGGCGTTCGCTGGAGCCTCGGTCGTCGGGTAACGTCAGGGTTTCAGGTTTACGGCTTAGAAATGAGAGTTTCCGAAAATTAAGGGTACCTTATCTTGGGTCCTTATAGTAAGGATCCTACTAATTTAGGGTGCTATATTAGGGTCCCCTAAAACTCCCAAATACTCATGTCGTTGATGGGAGCGAGAAGTTGTTGTTCGACACGGCAGCCGAGAAGCCTTCTTTGGGTACACCCAAGCAGAGCAGTACATTGTGGTATAAAGCAAATCAATTGAGTGCAGTGGACGCGGCTGTAGTAGAGCATCAAGGCTGATAGCACATTGTAGTCGACCGTGCCACGCAGCAAAGTGCAAACTGGAACCGGTGGTTTTCCACTCTGCTTGCCCGCCCAAGCGCGGACATTGACAAGCTTAGCGAGGACGCGCCGTAGAACAGCTCACAGATGGCACCGCTACTGCAACAACTAGCACTATTACAGCTACTACTACACCACTGCTTCTGCGTAGAAGATGACTCAATCATAACAGTAATCCTAACGGTCGTAATTTCCATACAGTAACAACAGTCATCATCGTAATACCGCATGGAGTCCTGAAACCTAATGCTGACAAGACTAATGACTAATGCATACCCATGTACTATAGTCACTTGTCCCCCAAGTGTATATATGTTGGCAGATAGGTATATGGGAGTTTCCGAAAACCTGGGGCGTACCTGATTTGAGGTCCTTATAACAAGGATCCTACTATGGTAGGGTCCCCTTCTGTCGAAACCGCCCTTTTGGACCCAACCCTAAACCCGAACCCCTAAACTCTAAACCCGGGCTACTGCACATTAAAAAAAAAAAACCCTGAACCCCCAAACCCGAAACTCCGAACCCCTCAACCCTAAACCCTAAACCCCTAAACCCCTAAACAAACCCCTAATAAACCCTAAACCCTAAGTGAAGCAAGTATCCCCATTATAGGGTCCTTAAGTGAAGGTGGTTCAAGGGGGGGAGGGTACAGTTGATCCTTGGGGAACCTCAAGGGAACCTAGGGATTAGTAGGTTATCTACCAACCTTGGAGGCCCCCCCCATAAGGATACCTAAAGGATCATGGGACTTAGTAACAAGGGCTATCATTAGGGTAACTCTACTGATAACTACTTATAACTCCAATTCAGGTACTTATAACCTTACTTACTAAGTCCCATGATCCTCCAAGTAGACCCTAAACCTTAAACCCTATAGATCCCTTTAAGGAACCCTGTAGATCCCTTTTAAGAGCCCTTTAAGGACCCTTACTAAGTCCCATCATCCTCCAAGTACTGTATCCCCAGGTCTTTCCGAAGCCGGCCATCGAGGGATGGGGCTGGTCCCGCGTGGGCTGGGACTGGAAGGGTTGGCCCTGACCTGAGAGTTACAAAGTTTAGGGTTTAGGGGGTTTAGGGGTTTAGGGGTTTATGCAAGCAGTCAGCAGACAATCCGAGCGAGAGCGACGCCTGGATCCTTAGCCAGAAGATTTAGATGTACAAATTACGAATTAGCCTGCGTTCGCACGGCGACGGGACCGACCACCTTTACAGTAATTGTTCCACACCTCTTGTGGGGACACGTACGCTATCGGACACTCCATAGGCTCCTTATCTGGGCCAAAAACATTTCTCATGGCACTCGAGTATTTCCAAGCACCTAACAACGGATGGACCGGTGACTGCCCCGCCGGTCTGAGACAGCGTGGCACTAAAGACAGACTAGGAACCATCTCGTGGCAACCATAAACCGCCAAAGACTTAGACCTGCTCAATTGAAATTCAATGCCGTGGCGTTTCGCCAAAAACTTCATAGCATGATAGAAAGTAGTCGTTTGTTTGCCGAGCGGTTGCCTGCAAACACGAAGTGCTGGATAATCCACTTCCGTCAAGAAGAGAGATGCGCACTTGCACTTGGCTAAACTAGGTGGGCGAACTCCAGGGGGGAGAGCCGCCAAATTTTGTGGTGACAACCAACCTGTCCGTTTCACGAAAAGGACATACACTTCCAAAAGGGACATCGCCTCATCTGACTGGACCCACTCCTGGTCCCTTATAAACGTTTGCAGCACCCACAGAAACCTAGGACCTAGGAGGCCGTCTTGAAATTCGACAGGTGATGGCATGCTTTGCCCCCTCACTGCAACGAGCAATTTAGCCGACGATTGACCGTATGTACGGGCGGGCTCCACCTCAGGCCCTTGTGCGTTCTCAAAATTTCCCGAAGACGGCTCAACTCGCGTCTGCGTAGTCTTAACTACATCTTCCTGGAATTTGAAAACACGGTGAGCTTTCAGAAGTTGTGTATTTGCAGCGGACACAGCGGCACGGAAAATGCTTTCCTGTTCATTTGTCCATTTCTTCTGGGCGCGCTTGGCTGCATGATCAGCTTTATCATGATGAAAGGCACACCATTGCAAGAAAGAAGTAGTCTGCTGCCACGGTTTGGTGTGGGAATGCACGTGAGTGATCGTCCATCCCTGCCGCTTATGGCGAATTATGGACCAAATCGCCCACCATAGCTCTGTTTCTGCAAGTTGGAGGAAGCGATCCGCCACCCAACCTTGTTTAAGCAACAAACTAAAACCCTGGACCACCAGGGGTTTAGGGGTTTAGGGTTCAGGGTTTAGGGGGTTCAGGGGTTTAGGGCTTAGGGTTTGGGGCACCTATCCGATCTTACTGCAGTTTCGCAGACTTTCGAGAGAGTCTTGTGGGGAGGTAGGTTGTGTATAAGGCTGAAAGAGCACACTTGGGCATTCCGATTTGTAAGATGTCGGATAGTGCTCACGAAGGTATTTATGTATTGTATGCTCATTTATTTCATGTCGGGGCGACGTTTTAGATTTGGTGGGGATTTCCGGGTGCTTCAGTTGCGGCAATATGTAGTACCGGAGATGTATCCCTTTTCAGGCCCTGTAGAAATATACCATACCGCACTATTCAGCCTCTTCTAATTTTTCGGGCACTAAAACCAACCCCAGACCTCTAAACCCTAAGCCCTAAACCCCACATCCTAAACCCTAAACCCTTGACCTTAAACACTAAGCCCTAAGCCCTAAACCCCTAAACCGTGTACGTGCAATCAACGAAGCCCTGACAGAAACACTTGCCATATAAAGCACGGCTGCTCCATGGGGGCGCCAAAACCTAACACCCCGAAAGCCATAACCACGTCAGGGTTTAGGGTTTGGGTGGTTAGGGTTCGGGGGCCTAGGGGTTTAGGGTCTATAGGGCCACTGACTCCCAGAACAAACCCCCTGAAGGCCTGTTCATAGATTCTTGTCATGTATGCATCCCATGGGATGCCGGGAGGCTCCGTGGAACACGAAGTCACAGGTACGGTTTAGGGTTTAGGTTTAGGCTTTAGGGTGTTTTGGGGCAAAATCTGCCTGGGCGGCTTCGGGTTTAGGGTTTAACTGAAGCTCCTGCGGTTGCAGATGTACAGGACTTTTGAGCTACTGAAGTTGTAAGCTCCAAAGCGCTAACCGCTAGCGCCGCTAGCGCCCAAGACCCTCAAAGCAAAGAGCAGAAAGCTTAAATCCGAAATCGTGGAGTACTACTGATACCATGCTAAATCTGTAAACCCCAAACCCCAAACCGAGAACCACAACCCTAGGCCCCCAACCCTACTTCCTAATCATTCGCTCCCTTGGCGCCCAGGTGGCAGTTTGCGGAGCGATGTATTCAGTCCTTAGAGAGCTCCCGAGCCTTCGATGTGCCGATGCCCTAGCACGAGAAGCAGGCTTTAGGTTTTGGGTTTGATATAGGTTTTGGGTTTGGGATTGAGGCTTTATGGTTCGGGGTCGGGTGCACCGGGATCCCTGGTTGGTGGACAGGCTGCCCGAACGAATGGAAAACCCTGACCAGTGAACAATCCGCCCACAACCCGAAGATTCTTTGCTCAATCGCCAAAGCAAGGCAGGGAGGGGGGTTCTTAATCGGCGGTCTACATGTTGGGGTCTGTGTTCTAGCAGAGTTTTAGGTCCTTGAGGCTTTAGGGGTCTAGGGCTATCGTCCCGAATCTACTTCTCGAACCCCACACCCTAAATCCCAAACCCCAAACCCCTAATCCTAAGACCCCCAAAACCAAACCCTAAACCCTACGTAAAGGATCATGGCACCCTGAACCCCGTAGATCCCTTTAGGAACCCTATAGATCCCTTTAAAGAGCCTTTTAAGGGCCCCCCAAAACCAAACCCTAAACCCTAAGCCCTTCAAGCTGTCTGCAACCCTGCAAAGCTTCGCCCAAACGCTCAAGTCCTCGACTGTTAGCCCCGAAGTGCCAAGAACCAACTGCCCAAGAACCCAAACCACGGTTTATTGTTTAGGGTTTAAGGTTTAGGGTTTAGGGTTCAGGGTCTAGGTTCAGGGTTGAGGGGTGAGGGATTAGGATTCAACTTGAGTCTTGAGCCCGCAATGTGTTGGTTTGTTTGGATTACGCGGTGTGGTATCTAGTACACGTGCGGTGCAAGGCTCCCAATTCCGGATGCTGCAGAAGTTTCTGATAAGTGCAGAGTTTATAGTTCGAGGCTGCAGTTGTTATTGCTGCTGTTATCGAGTATGGGGATCAAGTTTTTAGCTGACATGCTTTTGCTTAACTTGAAAGTCACACAATGGCCCGAAACCCTAAGACCGGATTCGATTTCGTATTGAGGAAGAAAAGAGTTGGTTCACTTTCACGCACAGCTGAACTGTCTTTGTCCTAAGGAGTTGTGAAGTAGAAGCCCAAAAAGTTGGAAGCAGCAACTAGGTGAGTTTGTCTCGTGATTCCCACCGTCATCTCTTCCAGCTGGTTTCGCAACTAAACGGTTTAGGGTTTAGGGTTTAGGGCACATGACTTACAAACGCGCCGTCCATTTTCCAGGGCCGCTAGACGTAGAGTCACGGGTTGGCCTTGGTGTCCCCATTTTGGAGCCCAGAGTTAAATAGAGCCCAAGCAGTTGTAGATGTTCTACCTCAGCCGTCCATGAAATAATTTTATGAAGCGGGAATGGAATTCACCCCTAAACCCTAAACCCTATACCCCCCTTCCCCTTGTACAGCCAAAAAACCGGATCCGCAAAGCGCGAAGAAGGTTGGGCCTCGTCTTGCGGATGCTAGAAGACAAGGAAGGGCAGCCTCTCTTCAACATCCAGGCACCAGGGTTTATTTAGGGCGTTGAGGGGTTTAGGGCGTTTAGGGGTTTAGGGTTTAGGGCGTTGAGGGGTTTAGGGCGTTTAGGGCGTTGAGGGGTTTAGGGCGTTTAGGGGTTTAGGGGTTTTAGGGGTTTAGGGGTTTACCGCATTTATAGGGGTTTAGGGTTTTAGGGAAGGGCAGCCTCGCTTCAACATCCAGGCACCCCTCTCCCCAAAACGATCAGACAACTGGGGGATCTAGCTAGAGACCTGCAGGTTCATACCCTACCCCTTTCTTAGGATACCTAGTTTTCTGGTTAGGATCCGTTATATAGAAAACTAGGTACCTTAAAAAAAGGTAGGGTATGAGCCTCTAGGTAGATTTCGGATTGCGGCTTTAGGATTGATTCATGGTTGGGCTTTGGGTTTTTTCATTTCAGGGGTTTAGGGTTTAGGGTTTACGGCTTGGAGGAATTATGATACTGCTGTTGGCTTGTTCTTTGCGCGCGATCCCACTGCCTAGGTTACTGGTGAATAAAGGCACAGGGGCACGGCTTCGCAGTCCTGAGGCTATCTCATTCTGGAGGCCTTCGTTTTTGAAAATTTAGGGTTCCGTTATCGGGGTGGCGACAGGGGGCAACAATGCGTCCTAACATAAGCGCCACCATACCCACTAGTTTATCTCTGGCTGCCTTCTTCGCTTACACTTTCGGATCTAGGGTTAGCAGTGTAACAGACTCTGAATACCGTTCAGGCTATCGGTGTTTCCGGTGTTGGAGTTTTGGATTTTGGCCTTTCGGTTTGGGGTCCAGAGTTTATGCGCTTTTCCGTGTTTGGTTGTGCGGTTTAAGGTTCAGGGTTTAGGGCCTCAAGTTCCGAGGTTTGCTAGCATTTGTGGAATGTATCAACCCTAAACCCTAAACCCTAAACCCTAAACCCTAAACCACCTAACCCTAAGCCGCCATCCCTAACGGCTACCTGCGAAGCCCTAATTTCTAGACGCTGCGTCCTGAAGTTTTAAATCACTGAACTTAACCCTAAACCCCAAGCCCCACAACAGAACCCCAGAAATCCAAAGCCGAAACATCGCTGCAGATTTGGACCCCTAAATCCCTAAATCCAAAACCCAGAACCCTAACGAGCATGGCTGCAGATTTGGTCGGATGGCGACCGCTTCGCCAAGTTTCTGGGTAAGCGGTGCACTCAGAGCTCAACTCGTCATTGGACCCCCAAAGTATGTGGGGTTTAGTTCAGGGTATGTACAGATCGTAGCATTTTGAAGGCGTGGGGCTATTCTTTCATTGAGGGTTTAGGTTTAGGTAAGCCTGACAACATAGAGGTCCCCTTTTCCAGCTATTCGGGCCACCATGTTATGCGTGCACTACTTGGGGTCTGTTTGCATCTCGACTGTTTGGGTTTTAGGCGCAAAGAGTTTGAAAGTTTTTATAGTTTGATAGTTTGGCTCATTCTTACAGGGGTTTTAGGGCCTAGTTTATAAGGTTTGGGGTTTAGGGTTTGGGGCTTAGGGTTTAGGATTTATGGGGTGTGTGTGTGTGGCATGATTTGAAATTTGCCGGCAATATTGGTGACTACATGCTCGCAAACTGAGCATTCAGAGCACAGGGTGTGCGGTCCGAAACTGACCAGGCCTCATTCAGGAATTTGATTACACGAACCTCATATATGTCTATCTATATCTATATATATATATATATATGTACAGACACACACACACACATAATTATATGCCTATGTATATGAAGCCCAAGATTTCGTTTTCGTTCGCAGCAGAGTAGACTTGAATATTTTGCTGTTAAGAAATTGCAGGCGCCTCTCATGCTTATGTCCATCTGCTTTGCCCCTCTGTCTCTATACAGGCTTCGGGTTCTTTCTGCCTAAACCCTGCAACCTAGACCCTGTACATTCAACAGTGATTTTTATCTTCCTGGAACCCATGAGGCCAGGTACAAACTTAAACCCTGAACGATCGGGCAAGATGAGCACTCATGAGGTTGTGCGACCTCGGTGGCTGTGAACTGCCGGAGGTCGTCGAGAGGCACCTTCGAATGGTGGGTAGCTTGCAGGGTCAGGGTTGAGGGTTTAGGGTCTGGGGTTGAGGGTTCGGTGTTCAAGGTTTAGGTTGGTGTAGGGTGTACCAGGTTTTCAGCACTTCAGAAACTCATAGCATCTGCCTGTGCAGCAGGCTTCTGGTGGCACTCGCAGCATTTTGCGTTCAAATCTAAGCAACCCTAATTCGAAACCGTAAACCCCCAAAGCTAAGGTAAGGTAAGGTGTGACCAAACAGCTGCTCCCAGAGAGAGGGCTACAACAGCTGACTCCCTCCCAATCCAGCTTCAGAGAGTAGAAGCCCAGAGCTGCTTTGTGCCTGCGAGGTTTCACACATTGTCTCCTCCTTGAATCCCGTAAGACTCCAGACAGACCACCACGCTCTACAATCTACAGAATTCAGGCTCTACACAACTGTAGTACTAGTACAGCTTGAACATGTCCTAAGTATCTGTAAAAGTAACGATGGTATAGTGGCAACAGCAATCATAGGATTCCGGGCCCATGGCTTCACGGTTTTATGGGCCTAAACCCTGAACCCTCAACGATAAGGTTCCTTTAAGGGTTCCGGTTTGCTTTGGCTTGGGTTTAGGGTTTAGGCTTAGGGTTTCGTTCTGAAGCCTGGACACCCGTGAGCGAAGCCTGAACCGAAGGAGGAATTGAGCTTCCTTAGGGATCTATAAGGGTTCCTTAAAGGGATCTATAAGGGTTCTATAAAGGGTTTAGGGTTTCCGAAAATTAGGGGCTAGGATGCCCAGTAGTACCCTTATTCCCTTTTTCTAGTCCTAGGTTCCTTATAAAGTTACCCAATACCAAAAAGAGACGCCGTTTTATTCCTAGGTTACTGCGTATCCTAGTTAGGGCTCCTCTATGATCCTCTTCTGTTAGGGGCCCAAAAGGACATACGCCTGAGCGCTTTATGGTGATATCCCTATCTTATTGGGCATCATTACAAGTGGGTTTATAAGTGATATATGTGCGTTTGGGATCCTTATATGATCAGCACGAACAAAGCCGATTCTCATGATTTCAATTTCGGCCCTGCGAAGACTCTCTGAAGCCCTAAACTGAGGCAGCCGGAAACCCGGACTCCGTCAGGATAGGTCCTTACTACTGTGATTATCGCTATTACTATCACTGTCACTGTCACTATCAATAATGCTGTTGCTGTTACTATCACTACGGTTGATGGAGGAAATCTTGCACCATCTGCCTAATAACAGGTGAGACGACACTTGAGCATAACCCCGCGCCCCCTTGTTAACATTGAAGATGATGGATACGGAGCTGATGCAAGATTTTTGTCATTGGAACCCACGGCACTTCCGAGGATCACCGATCAATGTTAAAAAGGGGGGGTGGGGTGTCTGCTTGGCTTGGCCACTTAAACTGGTGCAAGATTTCCTCCATCAACAGTACCTTCAACTGTTGTCACGGTAAGCAATATGCAAGTGATGGCAAGCCACAATATCGATCCCTCACCATCTCACCATGTGTGTCGGTGTGTCGCTGTGTGTCAAGGACCGAGGTACTTGTAAGACAGATTTGAGGAAAGGCAGGTTTTCCTTGCATTTCGGCAGAGTAATAAGTGTTAACTGCATAGTGTGCCTTTTCTACAGTTAACACTCAGTTAACACTACAGTTAACACTACAGTTAACACTGCCGAAATGCCGCAAAAACCAGCATTTTGCAGAATACACGCATTTAAAAAAGAAAATCTGCTAGTTTTTGTATCTTTTATACACATTTGAAGAAAACGCTGGTTTTCCCAGCATTTCGGCAGTGTTAACTGTAGCGTTAACTGTAGTGTTAACTGAGTGTTAACTGAGTGTTAACTGAGCGTTAACTGTGGGAAATGTAAGGAATTTATACTAAGCCAGAATACTTTGGTCATCTCAGCAAGAAGGATCCTGTCGGCTGATGGAGGAAATCTTGCACCATCTGCCTAATAACAGGTGAGACGACACTTGAGCATAACCCCGCGCCCCCTTTTTAACATTGAAGATGATGGATACGGAGGTGATGCAAGATTTTTGTCATTGGAACCCACGGCACTTCCGAGGATCACCGATCAATGTTAAAAAGGGGGGGTGGGGTGTCTGCTTGGCTTGGCCGCTTAAACTGGTGCAAGATTTCCTCCATCAACAGTACCTTCAACTGTTGTCACGGTAAGCAATATGCAAGTGATGGCAAGCCACAATATCGATCCCTCACCATCTCACCATGTGTGTCGGTGTGTCACTGTGTGTCAAGGACCGAGGTACTTGTAAGACAGATTTGAGGAAAGGCAGGTTTTCCTTGCATTTCGGCGGCAAGTGTTAACTGCATAGTGTGCCTTTTCTACAGTTAACACTCAGTTAACACTCAGTTAACACTACAGTTAACACTACAGTTAACACTGCCGAAATGCCGCAAAAACCAGCATTTTGCAGAATACACGCATTTTAAAAAGAAAATCTGCTAGTTTTAGTATCTTTTATACACATTTGAAGAAAATGCTGGTTTTCCCAGCATTTCGGCAGTGTTAACTGTAGTGTTAACTGTAGTGTTAACTGAGTGTTAACTGAGTGTTAACTGAGCGTTAACTGTGGGAAATGTAAGGAATTTATACTAAGCCAGAATACTTTGGTCATCTCAGCAAGAAGGATCCTGTCGGTTGATGGAGGAAATCTTGCACCATCTGCCTAATAACAGGTGAGACGACACTTGAGCATAACCCCGCGCCCCCTTTTTAACATTGAAGATGATGGATACGGAGGTGATGCAAGATTTTTTTGGAACCCACGGCACTTCCGAGGATCACCGATCAATGTTAAAAAGGGGGGGTGGGGTGTCTGCTTGCTTTAAACTGGTGCAAGATTTCCTCCATCAACAGTACCTTAAACTGTTGTCACAGTAAGCAATATGCAAGTGATGCAAGCCACAATATCGATCCCTCACCATCTCACCATGTGTGTCGGTGTGTCACTGTGTGTCAAGGACCGAGGTACTTGTAAGACAGATTTTAGGAAACGCAGGTTTTCCTTGCATTTCGGCAGAGTAATAAGTGTTAACTGCATAGTGTGCCTTTTCTACAGTTAACACTCAGTTAACACTCAGTTAACACTACAGTTAACACTACAGTTAACACTGCCGAAATGCCGCAAAAACCAGCATTTTGCAGAATACACGCATTTAAAAAAGAAAATCTGCTAGTTTTAGTATCTTTTATACACATTTGAAGAAAACGCTGGTTTTCCCAGCATTTCGGCAGTGTTAACTGTAGCGTTAACTGTAGTGTTAACTGAGTGTTAACTGAGTGTTAACTGAGCGTTAACTGTGGGAAATGTAAGGAATTTATACTAAGCCAGAATACTTTGGTCATCTCAGCAAGAAGGATCCTGTCGGTTGATGGAGGAAATCTTGCACCATCTGCCTAATAACAGGTGAGACGACACTTGAGCATAACCCCGCGCCCCCTTGTTAACATTGAAGATGATGGATACGGAGGTGATGCAAGATTTTTGTCATTGGAACCCACGGCACTTCCGAGGATCACCGATCAATGTTAAAAAGGGGGGGTGGGGTGTCTGCTTGGCTTGGCCACTTAAACTGGTGCAAGATTTCCTCCATCAACAGTACCTTCAACTGTTGTCACGGTAAGCAATATGCAAGTGATGGCAAGCCACAATATCGATCCCTCACCATCTCACCATGTGTGTCGGTGTGTCACTGTGTGTCAAGGAGCGAGGTACTTGTAAGACAGATTTGAGGAAAGGCAGGTTTTCCTTGCATTTCGGCAGAGTAATAAGTGTTAACTGCATAGTGTGCCTTTTCTACAGTTAACACTCAGTTAACACTCAGTTAACACTACAGTTAACACTACAGTTAACACTGCCGAAATGCCGCAAAAACCAGCATTTTGCAGAATACATGCATTTTAAAAAAGAAAATCTGCTAGTTTTAGTATCTTTTATACACATTTGAAGAAAACGCTGGTTTTCCCAGCATTTCGGCAGTGTTAACTGTAGCGTTAACTGTAGTGTTAACTGAGTGTTAACTGAGTGTTAACTGAGCGTTAACTGTGGGAAATGTAAGGAATTTATACTAAGCCAGAATACTTTGGTCATCTCAGCAAGAAGGATCCTGTCGGTTGATGGAGGAAATCTTGCACCATCTGCCTAATAACAGGTGAGACGACACTTGAGCATAACCCCGCGCCCCCTTGTTAACATTGAAGATGATGGATACGGAGGTGATGCAAGATTTTTGTCATTGGAACCCACGGCACTTCCGAGGATCACCGATCAATGTTAAAAAGGGGGGGTGGGGTGTCTGCTTGGCTTGGCCACTTAAACTGGTGCAAGATTTCCTCCATCAACAGTATCACTATTATTAGTATTATTAGTATTATTGTTATTATTGTTATTATTATTATTACTACTACTACTACTACTACTACTACTACCATCACCACTAGTATCACTGTCACTATTGCCATTTGGCCATAAACCCTATACCCCAAGACAGAAACCAGAGCCCCTAAACCATTATCCAGGTATGAGACAACCTTTGGGGAACCCACAAGTCAAGTTCCATATACCTAGAGACTCCATATATGGCTTAGGATTTAGGGTTTAGGGTTTAGGGTTAGTACCATTGTGGAATTAGGTCCTTGAAACCCTGATCAGGATGGTCTTTTGGGGCTTAATTCCACCATGGTACTTTATATGGAGCCTCTGGGATAGGCTCCAAAGTGCCTAGGTCAGCCGCACACCATTTGCTTCTGGGAACCTAGACTCAGGGTATAGGGCTTCAGGGGTTCGAGGTTTAGGGTTTTGGGTTCAGCCTCTGAACCTAATCGCAGAATCTCTAAGAAGACCATCCGGGCAAAAGGTCAAAATTAGTTGCGACCTCGAGCAAAGCTCCTACACACCCAAGCGTTTTAATCCTGAGCCCCTGCAGCGAAAGCAAGACCCGTCACGGAACCCTAACATAGGGGCCTAAATTATTACCTCTACTATTTTAGGGGGTCCTGAATATGATTATAGTATAATGGGCCCCAAAACTCTATTCTAATTATTAAGGCCCCTATATCAATACACCTTGATCCGGTTAGGCTGAGCCTTCTGGGCGTGACTGCAGCGGAAGAGTGAAGGCGACGCAGAACTGCCCATTCGGGGGTTCTGGGTTTTGGGGTTTACCCAGAGAGCCCAATACCCCTTAATTAAGGAATATGCTTAAATTATAGGCGGCTTCATATTATGATTTAAGCTATATTCTTGGATTCGGGGGTATTGGGCTATCTGGGTAGGGATTGGGGTTCCAAGGTGGAAAGCTTTAGTGCTCATGATGTATGGTTTAGGTTCACTGGGAGCTTCGATCGCGTTTCATGCGTTTTTTGGCGGTTTCTTGTTTGGACGGTTTTTGTAGCATCTTAACGACTGGGGCTCAGTATCCTGTACAGTATATGCAAGTGTGCATACAAAATAAAAATAAACGAATAAAGATATATATATATATATACACATACACATGTACACACACACACGTGTATATGTATATGCATATGTACATAGGAAGAGAGAGAGAGAGAGAGAGAGAGAGAGAGAGAGAGAGAGAGAGAGAGAGAGAGAGAGAGAGAGAGAGAGAGAGACAGAGAGAGAGAGAGAGCGTACATTATAAGGGCTTGGGTAGGGTTTTCCTAAATTTGACCCACCGCGAAAAGACACCCGAGAGCCTGATCTTGAAACGGCCAAGCTGCCAGGTGTGGAAGCAGACCGCAGATGCTCTATGTGGCACACAGGGCTCGCTTGTGCCAAAGCCTTCCTTTGCCTCTGAGCTGCTCACCTCGAATCCTGAACCTGTAGCCCTCTAACCCTAAACCCTAAACCCTAACCCTAAATCCGAAACCTGCGAAGCCGAAGCCCTTTGAACCCTGGTAAAGTCTAACGCACTGCAAGCCGACGATGCAAAACCCTGACACGAGGATGTGGTCCAAAGTTGGCATGTTTCGGGTTTAGGTTTAGGGTTTAAGGTATTGCGCCAGACGATGCAATCTGTAACAAATAGTACATCAAAGTGTTATGTAGCCGGCAGTGGAAGACTAGTTACTAGTTCTAGCCAGTATTCGTATCTGTAATGGCCAAAAGCCGGTAAGGTGTTGCGTTGTGACCAAGGCTGATGAGGTGTTTGAGTCAAGCTCGTTAACTAGCCAAGGACAGCATCAGTAAAGCTTTCTGGACTTGTTGAAGTTGGCCTTAAACCCTAAACCCCCTAAGCCGTTTTGGGCTATGTTTTGAGTGGTCTCCCTTCAGCGATGTCTTGAAGCATGGCTTCTTACGGCCAGTGGAGGTACAAGTATCCTTTTGTAAACAGAACACTTCGATCGATGTCAAAGGCGTGACAGATGAATCTGACCTCCCGAACCCGAAACCAACCCCAACCCGACACCCAAATCCCAACCCCAACCCGACACCCAAATCCCAACCCCAACCCGACACCCAAATCCCTAGCATCACGAGATCTATCTCATCCTTGAGCAAAGGAAGGTTTCGGCCGTTCACACACGGAGGGGTTTAGGGGTTAGGGTTTAGGGTTGGGGTGTATCCCAAGTGAAGCTCAACAGTCTTTCCTAAGTCAAGAGCCCTAAACAAGAATGGCTTCGCCTTGTTCTTCATCATGATTTCTGTTCTGGCTTCGGATACGCGTACAATGCCATTGCATCAGGGCGTTCAGGGTGTGTCACCACGGTTTGTGTTTCATGGTGCCGATGACGAAACCTTGCTGACTTCTGCAAGGCATCTTACCAAGTTCCGCCCACCTGTACGCCCTAATCTATACGCTCAAGCCCTTCAAAACGAGAAATGGTTCTTAAGAAATCCAAGCCAACTACACCACAATCCTTGCATGCAGCATATGCAGCTCTGAACCCTAAACCCTAAGCATTTAAGTTTCTGGGATAAGAAAGCCGGATTGTTGGGGGGTTGGTCTGCGAGATCTATCCCTGGCTGCTGGAGTGACATGAGAGGCAGTTCGGCGTTAAAATTGTCTCAATCTAAAAACCCCAAGCCCCTGAACCCTAAACCTTGTAACCCCTAAACCCTAAGCCCTTTAATCCCTAAACCCTAAACCCTAGTTCAGAGTAGGGAAAGGAGCCCCGACCCCATTCCGCCATTCCCCACAAGGGAACAGGTAGGGATATGGCTTCAGCCAGGCACGGTTTTAAGGTGGGGTCTGGAATTTAGGGCTGTGCCTGGACCCACATTGCAGACACTGCGGCTTAGATGGTTTTCTGGGTTTCATTTCTCTAGATACGATGAACCCATACCCCCCAAAACCCTAAACCGAAACCCGAAGCCCTAGATGCATGGACCCTGGCCTGAGCCGTAGGCCCTAAATGTCCCACTTTTTAGGGTTCCTTATTACTTCCTTATAAGTCCTCAAGCAGGTAGGTCTTTTTGGGGTCGCGGTAGAGTAAGGTCGTAAGTGTTTAGGGTTCGGTGTTTCAGCCTTCAACCCTGAACCTTAAACCCTAAACCCTAAACCCTAACACCGAGGGTGGCGAGTTGTTCAGAGTTTAGGGTTGAAGATGACAGGGTTGGGGTCTAGCAGTTAACTAGACTTTGGGGTTTGCGGGTTTAGGGTTTGAGGATTTAGGGTTTAGGGGTGTAGGGGTTTCGGGTTTTAGGAACTAAGCTTGAGGCTTGCATGATTTGAGGTTTACGGTTTGTCTTTCACTACTTTGGAGAGTTGCGGGCCAGTAGGGCTTCGGGATTAGATAATGCAGGTTTAGGGCCAACAGGACTTCCGCTTCGCGGGTTTAGGGTTTAGGGGTTTAGGGTTAGGGTCAGGGGGCTACAGGTTCAGGCCACGAGGAGGTTGCGGCCGCTGTTCCGGTATGGCACTTGCATTTCCAACCCTCTTCTTCTGGATGTTGAGTTTGCAGTCCCTGCATCTGAAGTATCCCAAGTTCCCATGTGCAGGTAGGCATATACGATTGCGTTCTTGAGCTTTTTTTGAGCGTTGACACCAATATGTCCCATGTTGCCCGTTGAGTTTCGCCAAACCTGAGCCACCTACTCGCCCTATAAGGCAGTATGTCGCCCTTTCAAACCTGTCTAACAGAATGTGTAACCCCGATGAAACCAGCCCCTTACAAGGTTCAAGCCCCATACATACCCTGCGAAAGCATGGCCTTAACCCTAATCCACGACTTAGGGGTACTTAGAAATACATTTAACCTTTGTATATTATATCCCTAAGAAACTGCTACAATTTTAATTTCTGCTGGGGTCTAATGTAAATTCATTATAGATGAAGTTTTGTATCACTGGCGTTTCGGCCTGTGTTACTGTGTTAACCGACTGCAAAGATGAGTGCAGGGGTTCCGGTCTTACCTGGACCCTAAGGAACCTGCCTTTTTAGGGTTCCTTAATATGACTTCTCTATATAAATCCTTAAAAAGGTAGGTTACTTGGGGTTCAGGGCTGAGGGCTTAAAATCGGAGGGTCTCGGGGTTTAAAGTAGACGTTAGGGTCTCGGGTTGTAGGGTTTAGGGCTTGGAGTACCATCTCAAAGTCGCTGGTTTAGGGTTTAGGGTTCAGGGTTTAGGGTTTAGGGTTCAGGGTCTAGGGTTCAGGGTTTAGGGTTCAGGGTTTAAGGTTTAGGGTAGGTTGATCTTTTGAAGCTGATGTTGAAACGGGATTATGGCGTCAAAATGTTAGCTGGGGTTGAGGGTTTGGGGTTTAGGGTCTAGGGCTTTCAACCCGACGAGGACGAAAGCGTCTTCGAGACTCGCTTGAAGAGTCTAGCGGACGAGGCTCCAATTGACATCTGTGTTGGAGGTTAATCTCTTTTGCGTTTCAGAGCACAGTTACGGGCTGGGTAGGGGTCTTCTCGCATGGAGGATCATCAACATTGGAATGTGATCGTTGGCTTTAGACATGCCCTGATTGGGTGGGGTGCTCTACTAAGAAGCTCAAATCTACATGCATCTTACTGACCAAGTCCTGTGTGATGTGTCCACCTTAAATACCCGGATGCTCCAAGTCACAGCTGACTAGGTCAATTTGAGAGTGTTCGTGAATCATAGAACCCCTTTGAGAACTCGCAGCTTAAGCGCCCGTCGTGAAACCCTCCTGTAAATCGTAGACCCTGAAACGAACCCTGAAGCCCTAAAGCTCCGAATCCTACAAGCGCAGCCCCGACCCCGAGTGGGCTACGGGGTCTTTGGAATTCCAGGCAAAGTATCGCTAACGCATTCAGAGGCTGCCCCCGGCCTTGTAGACCAAAGTAGGTTTAGATGGGTTTAGGCTTTAGGGTTTATCAGTGACCTGACTACAACCCAGAGAGCCCAATACCCCTTAATTAAGGAATATAGCTTAAATCATAATATGAAGCCCTATATAATCTAAGCCATATTCTTTAATTAAGGGGTATTGGGCTCTCTGGGAAGCCAAGCTGAAGCTAAGAAGGCTCCTAGACGTCCACAGCAGCTTAGGATACCAAGGTTTAGGCGGCCTGGGGGTTCAAAGAAAGGCAAGGCCGGAAAGGCAGAAGCCCGGCAAAAGGTTGCATGAAGCAGGATTAGGGTTTAGGGTTTGGAGTTCAGGGTTTAAATAGAATTTCGCGGTGCTGCATTCCCACTCCGCAAACGTAATCAAGTATTTCCAGGTATGCGTCCACTCTTTTACTCGCTCGCTCATCCACTGATTCATCCATTGATTCACCCATGGACTTGTCCAGTCCTTCCTTCCTTGCTCCCTTGTTAGTTCCCCTCCCTCTCTCGCTCGTTCATTCATTCATTCATTCATTCATCCATGCACGCATGCATTCATCCATCCTTCCATCGATTCATTCATTCATGCATGCTTTCCTTCATCCATGCATTCATGCATTCAGGCATTCAGGCATTCAGGCACTCAGGCACTCAGGCATTCATGCATTCATGCATTTAATGCATTTAACGCATTCATGCATTCTTGCACTCTTGCACTCTTGCACTCATTCCGTCACTCCTTCGTTCCTGCGTTCATTCATTCATCCATCCATGTATTCATTCACTCATTAAATGCTTCATTCTTTCTTTGCTTCTTTCATTCGTTCATTCCCTCCTTCTTTCCTTCATCCATCCATTCATTCATTCATTCACCCA